TTTTTTCCTAGCACGCTTTTTACGCGTATATACACACACACACCGCGTACACACGCGTATAATCGCTATTCCGCGTGCGTGCGTGCGTGCGTCCCCCGTGGTCTGCTTTGCTGTTGCTGCTGCTGCTGCTGGCTGCTACTGCTGCTGCCGCCGCAATTCGACCGGAAGTAGAGGAATCGAAATATCGCGAGATACCACCGTGGCGCCATGTGATAGAGGACAGCACGCGCACAATTCCGCAAGCCAATCATAAGGCGGAAGCGTTGGAAATGCATTATTTCTATTCGTTATTATCGTGGTAATGGCAGATTTTGAAAAAAAGTCACGTGCATGCGCCAAAATGTCGCTAAATTCTGCTTTTAATGTAAATGTACTCTTACCTTTGTGACATAAGACTTTATCGCCGTATTAAAAATTGAGATTGAGATTAGATTGGAATTCGACCAATCCAAACAAAGTTCACTTCTGATTAGCTTTCTTTTTTCTGATTGGTTAGATTCCAATCTAAACCTTAATCTCTACGGACTTAAGTCAGTATTAGACTAGAGATTGAAATTGAGATTAGATTGGAATTTAAATTTTTTCTGATTAAATAATCAGAAAAAAAACTCAATTGCAAATTAATGAACTTTGTTCAGATCAAATTAGAGACCCTATAAGGAGAAACTCACCACTCGTCACGTGACGTTAGTAAACTCTGATTGGCTGGGATATGGATTGCACATCTGTGCTCCATGAAACTTACGTATAACGTATAACTATGCACAGTACATAACATGTATCTGCCAAAATAGGTTACTGAAACATCTGTTTCGTTTTATGGAGCACAGATGTGCAATCCATACCTCAGCCAATTAGAGTCTACTAACGTCACGTGACGAGTTAGCAAGTCTCTTCTTATAGGGGCTGAGTTCGAGGAGCGCACTATTAGAACTATCGCATCATTCTAGCCTTAATTTACATATAATGAGCAATAAAGATGAAATAATATGATAATGCTAATAGCACGCTCCCCGAACGCAGCCAGAATCTCTACAAGTAGGAAGTCTAATTAATTAATTAAGTTTGGAACAATAAATATTACTGAATGACTTCGGTGTGTAAACATAAGAGACTTTGTAAGTGTAACGGAAAAAAATTTGCTTTGTTTTAGGAAATAATCTTGTCAAATTTTATTTAAATGATTAAAATAAAAATCTATATTAATGAAATTATTTCTGGAATATACTCTAATTATTTTATAATAAATTACAAACCATTTCTCTTTCATAAATTTTTTCCTAAATATGATTTATTTTAAGATACAGCCGTATAATGAATTTATTTTAAACAATCTTAATGCTTTCTGAGATGATCACTGGAAATCTCTTAAGAGATTGTCACATTGTGCAGTATCCTATGATGAATGTTCATCAAATTTAAGATCAGATAAAAAAATTGAAAAAGCTTTAAAATAATCGCAGTGAGCCTTAATAATCCTAATATCACTAATGTCACTTTGAAGTTTTAACAGCTATGCCATTATTAAGCCTCGTGAGCCGAACGACCACTCATCCACGAGACCGGTGCACTCGCGCCACAATTACAGACCACGTTACAAACACGTGCGCCACGGATTCCGCCAGCCCCTCCAGGGGAACTCCTACTCTGATGCGCGGCCCGGTGGAAGGGGCCATCGGCTGAGTATATAAGCCGACTTGCTAAACGAGTCAGCATCAGTCCCCATCCCGAATCCTCGGGACAATCAGAGACTTCGAGCGCTCTCGAAGTAGCTGGTGTACTAATTCCTCTTCCTAAAGCAGTCTTGAGTGACGAGCGCACTCGTTGCTCTGCCAAGCGTTTTCCGTGGCTGCTTCCATCTCGTATGAGAGCGCATTTTCACACGACTCCTCGAGATCCCAGAGACGAGTGCTCTCGTCCCAGTGATCGTCCGCCTTCGTGCACACTCGCACACGTTCTTTGATTCATTTTCGTCCTGTGACGCTCCCTACTCGCTCTCCGCTAAGCGTTCTCGGCCGTTGTCACCGGGGACGAGCGTACTCGTCCACAATGAGTTCAACCCGACCGCCCCGACAAACCATCGGAACTATAGACGATCTCCAACGACGACTTGTGATTCTAGAACCAAGGAACCGGATTTGTTAAAAGAGCCATCGCCCAGCCGGGCGAGCACGCCGGCCGTCACCAAGTCGGACTCAGCCCCTATACTCAATCAAATCCGTAAATGGGGCTGCCAGTTCGATGGTCGCGATCTCCTGTCATTCCTGGAAGGGATCGAAGAACTGAGTTCCGCGTACGGGATAGAGGAGGCGCAACTTTTCTTCGGCCTCCCAATACTTCTCCAAGGAGATGCCCTATTATGATATTGTAACTCTCGAGACACCTTATTACAGGGGCAGACTTTTGTAAAGATCTGCGAAGCCAATATTTGCTCCAGAACTATATATGCCTACTTCGTCGCGGGATTCAAGATCGGAGGCAACAATCTGGCGAACCCTTCGCGAAATACGCGACTACGATCCTTACGATGATGCGACGAACCGGAGGATACCCCGTGCCGGAGCAGATCGAACGATTATATGAGAATGCAGATCCGGAATGCCAACTCCACCTGCATCCAGAGGTTGCGACCTCGGTCCAGGACTTATACAAACAGGCCGTCCGATTCGAGAAGATCAGTAAAAGGATTAAGTCCCAGCGAGCAAATCGGCAGGAGAAAACCCAGGTATCCGCGGCCACCTACGACCGAGCGATGTGCTGCTAGTGATGTAAACAACGAGGACACACTCGACAGGAATGCCAACGACCAGCCCGAAAGTTTTGCTCGCGCTGCGGCAAGGATGGGGTGCTCACCCGCGAGTGTCATCCTATAGGAAACGAAGAGCGGCGCTTATCCAGTCGGTGACTGATCCAGCACTTTGGGATAAGATACACACCGTGGCCGCACATCAAAGTCGAGCACTCAATCAAACATTATGGGCACTCCTAGACACCAGTTCCGAGATTTCGTTCATAAATGCTGATATGGCCAAATTGGCACAGCAACGGGGCCTCCTGTTGCAACCAACGCACGAGCAGGTGCATTTGGCCGATGGAAGTCAAGCCACCATTCAAGGGATCATCGAAATACAACTGGCCATCGCCGGCCGACCACAATGCCACTGTTTGAGATACTCCCTACGCTGGGAAACCCGATGCTCATCGGGATTGACTTGTGGGCCAAGTTACAGTTGACTTTACCTCCAGCACCACAGATTGTCACAATGAACGTACGACCCGCTCGGGTCACCAATTTGGAAGGAGAAATCGAGATAGGTTGATACCCTGGTCTCCCCCGGAAAAGGAGCTCCGCTTACGACACTTTCTGGAAAAAGAATCGAGGAAGTTTGATACAGTAAAGGGATATACCAAAGTGGGAAAGAGTCCGACGCTCCCACCCGTGAAGGTTACCCTCACGAATGGGGAGGTAGCGGACATCAGTTTCGCTTGTGTCTCGTGCGCACCATTAGAATATAAGTTCTGTACCGTTAGATATAGGGTTCTATCTGTGCCTCCGTGTGCACCTCTAGAATATAAGATCCGTTCGCGTCTTTGTGTGCATCATTAGGTATAAATTCCGCTCGCGCTCCGCGCGCACCTAGATAGATATAAGTTCTGTTCGCACCTTTGTGCGCACCGGTAAATATAAGTGTCGTTCGCGCCACTATGCGCTCCAAAATTGTACAATGTATATAGACTTTTTAATAATAAACTGTGATCGTTTTTGATAAACCACAATCATTTGCCAGCCTGAGTCTCACCGCACCCGTCTTTCGAATTCTGGCGTCCGGCGAGCGTATTGGCCGTACAGGAAGTCGGACAGTTACAATTTTAAGAAAAGAATTCTTAAAATGGAGAGCGATCATAAATGGCCTGGCTTCTACATCAGACAAATAAGATTAATCTACAATGGTAAATTAAGCGATTTATCGAAAATTAGAAATCTCGCAGGAGAAAATAAATCTTAAATCTTTTAGACTGTTCTCAATAGCAGTGATTTCAGCAGCAAGTCGTGACAATCTTTGCAAATTTTTAAATCTTTAAATCTTTCTAAAATGTAATAAAATATAATAAATATTACGCAATTCTAGAATATTTTCAATAATATACACATTTTATCATTTCTAAATCAAAACTTGTACGTTTTCTTAGAAATATTTTCTCTAATTTTGATAAGAAACATTTTTTCTTATCAAAGAATGGATTGAACGATTCTTATAAAAAAGTGATTACAAATAAGTATATTTAAAAATACTAAAATACATGCGCCTTTGTTATATGTGCGAATTAATCTTAGATATCAACTCTTCGAAACAAATCAAAACCAATAAGATGAGAATAAAAATTATTCATCTAAATATTTAACAATATAAAATTTATCATTCTTTTTTTATTTACTTTTCTAATTTCCTTGTAATATTTTGTCAAACGTTTAAATAAAATTATTTGTATATGTTAAAGTTAAATGTAACATTTAAATATTTTAAATTATGAGTTTAATCTCAATAATATCGAGGTATCCAATCGACTTACTCCAAATACTTTATTCGTATATTTTCAATCACATTTGTAAGATATTTAAAAAAAACTGAACTGAACTATCTTTTAAAATATCAAATAAGATATCAGTATTAATGCTGTAATAATATAATTTACTTCAAAACCAATTTTGATATCCCAATGAGCAGAAGCATTTAGAAATAGCTTCTAAAAAGAAATCAACAAATAAAGAATAAAATACATTCTTTTGTAACTATATACTTTTGTAAAAGAATTGATGAAAAGGAAAAGATTGATTACGATTTTATTAATAAATAATATTTTCTTTAAAAACAATCACTGTCCATCATTTTAAAAAGTAATTTTTACGCGTATCAAATCTACTCGTTTTTCAATTAGATATTTATTAAAATAATTATATAATTTTCCAAAAAGATCTTTATAGAAAATAAATTCAAATATCAAATTTTAATTTGTTTTTCTTTCCCGAATTATGAATTTTAAATTATTATCGAAATCTAATGATCCAAATACATGAAAACCATCAAATTTATGTTGATGAAAAAATGTATATTTACAGCAAGGTTGCTCCGCCGGTGCCTGATGCCTCTCTTAAGCCTCCTCCTCCTCTCAGAATGTTAGACTCTCTGGAATATTCAATGAAACAAGTCGTCCTTTGATGTCTCGCTGTCTCAAATATAAAAATGACATGTTTCAACGTCTATAACAAAATTAAATATTACATTAAGATAATATCTTTCTGTTGGGCTTGGCGCGCAATGGAGGAAATATTAGGGCAGAAATAAATATTAAGTTTTGAAAATAAAAATTCGGAATAAAGATTAAACGTAACATACAAATGGATACAAATATGGATTATGGATATAAATAAATATAAAATATAATAGCTATGTTTATAGCTATAAATATAAGATATATAGTTTATGTTTAATCTTTATTCCGAAAAAGGCCGCTTTCAGGTTTTTTCTAGCAACAAATGTCGATTCGTCACAAATGTATTTTTCATGGCCGATATCAATTCGATATCAAATCATTGCTGTACATTTTTGATGAATTAAAAAACTCGCCTGTAGTTAAGAAGTTTACAAGTTTAAAAATGAATGTACTAACAGTAATATGCAGGGGGCTTTGATGGTCCCAAGGAAAAAGCCATAATAGCCACTCTCAGGTTTCTCTCTGCTACATCACATTTATTCTGTCGATAAAATCGTGTTTCTCATAATAGATGTGGTGCATGTCCGTGCTAAATTCACGGAACAAATTTCGCGAGTGTATTTCTAGTTTTCTGTAGGACGAAATCCCTTCATCATTTCTTTCCGGCTTAGCATCGACAAGATCGAACAAATCGCCGATATTATGGATTTATTGGGATCCATCCTAAAATCCATGGACAAGCCGCCATCCGTAAACGAGAAACAGAAGGCTCTCATGAAAAGTTAGTTGACTCTTAACCTAAAGAAACTTTATTTAAAAATGATGAAAAGAGATGATCGAATCGTTTGAGAATTATATTGGCTCACTTCGAATTCATTTCGATTATGCAGAACAACAGGAGGAATATCAGAAGTATCAGAAAGCTGAGGCAGAAAGACTGAAGATCTTTCGACAGAAGGTAACTCCTTTATGGTTGCATCTTTGTATTTTTCGACTGATCCCTTGTCTTGTCTAATTCATTTGTATATAGGTTGAAGAGAAGATTAATAAGTTCTTACAAGATGACGATGCGAAGGAATATAGATTTCCTGCCATGGAACAGATACGTAGAAGCATTATGTAAATACATTTTTAAAATATATATATATATTTATATTTGTTATATATTGAACATTTTTATATAACATAAGAATAGATTTGTTCTTTATATAAGTTAAATTAATATACTATATATCTGATCTTTAATGAACGTCAGAGATTTTTTCTTGAACCCCATGAATATTTTGCTCTAGAAAAAAATATTTGATATGATAATAAGATGTAAAATATGAAGTTGACTCTGAGATATAACATTTTATAGTTCTTTGAAATTAAAATAAAATAAACATGTTTGAAATTTGGTAATAATTAGCAGTTTTAGTACAGCCTAGTAGTGGTAAGAAATAGGCCTAATCTCTGTCTTGAATTTCAGTCATGATGTAGCAGAAGTAGCAAATGTTTTGGCATATTCCTTTGGTGAGGAAGGCGTTGATCGATACATCGTGATTTTTAAGAGAGAGCATGCACCCTCAGAGGATCAGTTGAACACACTGCGCCGAGGTGAAGAATGGAACGAGGAAGTTGCAAAAAGATTAAAGGAAGAAAGAGAAAGGAAAGCCAAAGAAGAAACAGAATACGCAAAGTCTAGGAAACGAAAGGAGAATTTTGTACCCAACAACAGCTACTACAAAGATAAATATCAACATTTGATTGGCAAGGAAGCTGCTTTAGAAGCGGCGAGGAAAACAGAAGCCAATAGTAGTTACGGATGTGGTTGGTATATGTACAAATATAAGTTTAAATGTATTACCTAACTTTTTACTACAGACAAAAGCTAATTATTGTATAATGGAAACAATGTCCTATTTATTACATACAAATTATGGATATAAATTAATAATCTTAATTATATAAATCAAATTAATTATAGAGTATACATTATTTTTAAAATCATACAATGAATAAATAATGTTTTCAGTAAGAATTACAAAATTCATTTCGAAAAAAAAGTTAGGTAACTCATCTTGCACATATATATTTTTAATAAAATCATTATTTTAAATCCTTGCAGTTCCTAGCGAGAATAAAAAGGATCAAAGAAGTATAGAACAAACTCTGGCTGACATACGCGCCAAGAAAAGGAGACTGGAAATGAATACGGGAAATGAAACTGGTAGCTGCAGCGATAATAGTACAAAATAATGCTATATAATTATATAAATAATCATAGGGTATACATAAAATTATATATATATATATATATATATATATATATACTCCAATTAAGTGTGTAAATAATACAACAATAATATTAGATATGATACAGCATTATTATAAATTATTGCATTACGCACCGTTAGGAAAATCGCGCGGTAATCTGTGATTTTTGTCAAATTTTCCCTGTTAACTTGTTCGCTAAGTATTCTAAGAGGTATCATTAGTTCTACGATGGCATTACAATTAATATCTATCTGTATTAGAAGTGCATCGCATCACTTCTACATCGTTTCATTATGATACGTGTATTTACTACACTGAAAAGACTACGTTTTATATGTACAATATAATACATCATTTCATATACGCGTGTATATGCACATATAATATATATAACGAATATAAACATTCGTTCCTACGATATTCCTCTTTGTTTATATAAATTAAGGGGCAGCCAGCGTTCTCTATTTCAATTAGAGGTATTCCGTGGTGGAGTATTTAGGAACTGAAGTTCTTGGAGCCGGTCTGGGTTTTGTAGGCGAAGGGGACTCGAATACGATCTGTTCTTTCAAAGCAAGCAGCTTCGTGAACTTCTGATTCGTCGTGGATTTGTACAATTCCATCCCCCGGGCAATAATAACGTCTCGCACATAGGCTGCATTGTTTTGTACTAATTTTCGCTAGAAGAACAAAAAATTTGTAATAAAACAGCTCGATAACAATGACACTTGCTTACCTCTTGTTTCAACTTCGGATCCGTAAGCGAAACGATCAAATGTTGAACTTCGATTCGCATTACGGATACAAGCACACTGTCTATCGTAGATATAAGCTCGGGTGTGGTTACGCTAAGGCAATCTTCTAATAGACTGACGTAGATTTTGGAGAAGGTTAATGTATTGTACGTCAACGGTATCCAACAGTCGTTAGTCTGTAGCGATGGTACACCGATACCAAGATCATCGAGTTCGGTTAGCAATTTTTGAAGATTTTGACTAGTTTCTAGATTAGTCGGTCGCCAAGTGTCCTCCGCTATATGACGTTTCACCTTATCAATACAATTCTCTCCTGCATCCTGGATAGCTTTGGCTAATGGAGATCTAAGCTGCCCATCCAACTGATAACGCAAATCTATGCCAAGGTGGGTTAACTGAAAATCAAATTATCATAAATTAACATGATGAAATTTGCATATAATTTACATATCAAGTATATACATCACATGTTTCTTCAAATGTAAAGGATTGTCATTAAAATTAAAATGGGTACCTGATCGCAATGACTTCGAACGGTAACGATGCATTCTACTAGTGTACTTAGCGTAACTTGCGGTACAAACAGCTGTTGAGATAAGTGCGACGTTAGATATTTCACCTCCTGGCTGCACCATACAACTAGGCCTTAAATGACAACGAACAAATCAAATTAATCCACTGTTCGATCATGAAACATCCACCCTTATCGATGCTAAATTACCGGAAGTGCAGTTTGTAGATTTAGGGAAGGTTTTCACGAATTCTCTCGCTATCTCCACTATATTGCTGAAGGCGATCGCGCTGAGTTGCTTTACGTAAGCTACGATCGTGCTCTCGCGCTTGATCCTCTTCAATCGCGCCTTCAGAACAGCACTACACAATCGCAGATACAAGTGACATGCTTGTGCACTCCTATTTAGTTGTATCAGGAGCTTGACTGCGCGTCGCGCACTTCTTAAGCCACCACCCTGCAGCGACTTCGCTTCCGCGCTCGATTCAAGTTCCTTAGTCAGCACGTTCACTAGCGAGCGGCCTCTCTCGTTCACCTTTGTCTGAATCTCCGTCAGTAGCGGTGTCGATTCAGCATCCTTCAAATAAGCCTTCGCCTTTTCCAGCAGGCCGTAAGCCTCCTCAAAGTGACGTTGCGCTATGCAGGAATCTAGATCCTCTGCCACTTCCAGCACCCATTCCGGTGGTGGCTCGTAATACTCCGAATCATCGTCGTCGTCCATTCCTAATAAATTTGGACGGTTGTTAGTTAATGTTCAATGAATAAAAAAACAGAAATTAATGAAAATACGAGTCGTAATATGTCGAAAAATATAGCATCTTACCCAATGTATTCGAATCCAAAGACATTGAACGAGACGGTGCCGCTTTGTCTTCCTTCGGATGCTTATCCGGTGCATCGACTGGGTTCTCCTCCGCCAATTTCGCCCTTTTCGCTTGCTCACACTTATCCAACCACTCTTTCTGTAAGAACAAGTAGTATTCAAGTATTCAAATAATCCTTTCTGTTGTAGTTATTGTTGTACGATAATTGTTTTCAAACACTAACTTTACTTGTTGCTGTGGCACATTGGAATACCCTTGTATCAGAGAATGCCAGTAGTTTAAATGCCAGTTTCACGGTGCCGTGATCCCTTACATTCACAATTGCCAAAGTTTCTAGATTATAAACTGCCTGCATTTTGTACCTGGGTGGGCCGCGCCTGCCACCGTTCGCCAGCCAAGAGGCAACCATCAAAACATCATTGAATAAATATGCGTGAATTCTCTTTAAAGGCGTGCCTTCAAGTGGATCTAACTCGAGTAACGAACCTTCATGTAGACACATGCGTCCAGGAGTTTCAGCTAGACTCTGCATTAAAAAAATGAATGAAAAAGAGCAATATAAATCGTATTCAGAATTCAATAGGTCTATTATTATAACTGCACCAGACTACAAATTTGAATTTCTTTCTCACTTTCATCAAAATTTCAACATGTATCTATTTTAAATAGAATGAATGTATACCAATACAGCTATAAAGAACTGATGTTACATTTTGCTAGTCAAGTACCAACCAGGGCACCTTCCACATTCTCAATCAGTTGAATGAGTTTCTGCTTTTGCTCCTCCTCCTTTGATATCGGATCAGTTGAATTCTCCTGCTGCGACTCGGGTAGATCTTCAAAAACAACGCCCGTTGTCCTGGTGGAGCCTAATGTGCTCAATAGAGCACGCTGCTCGCTCAGCAACTGAGACAACTGATACATCTCGCTCTCCAGATGCGAGATCTCCTTGGCAGTTTCAATGAACTGCATATAATTTTGATACACATTCCGTTTCAATTGAGCGGATGTGTTGTTTGCTAGCTCCTGGATTTTCGCACGTTGTTGCCTTAGTTCGTCTGCACCGACGCATTGTGCACTTAATTCCTTTACAACTGTTGAAGAGAAAATCAAATGACCAGATAAATTATTTATTTATACATTTATACAGTTATATATTTTTTACATTTGTATTTTATTTTATATCTGTTCTCAACTTTGTACATGATTAATTCAATATTTACATAATTATAACTAAAAAAAGCTGTATAATATATATATCCTGAATATTTCGTGACAAGTACATGTCACACGATATTTTGTATCAAAATAAAGTATACTCGATCTCATCATATGATTGTCTTTTAAATCCTTCAGTTTTGTATCGTTTAACGCAATATGTGCCCAGTAACTCACATTTCTCCGGGTTAAAGTCCTCGGCTGCAAAAACCTTCGCCAAGTTATTGTCGGCCATCGCGAGGGAGGATCGTTGTTCGAAGGAGTGTGTTTTTAATATTATCAATCAGATCGATTACATGCTCCTGTCATGTTACGTTTCCTAAGCCCCATTCGTTTCACCTGTCACAAATAAATCAACATGATTCGCGTTGATTTACACCTCCGCCCCGATTTAACCTCACTTAACGTCTCCCATACGCGGCTAGGAGGCAGACTGACGCAGTTGGTAACGTCGAAACTTTTCATTATTTTCTCGACTGGTGAACCGATGGTAAGCAATGCCAAAGTTGGTTTGGGTCTTCGTTAACGTCAATTAGGTCACCGCTACTCCATTTTACGTTTTCGTGTATTTATTTGAAAAAATTCACCCTTGTAAATCGGTGTTAATTAATATTCGTGGAATTGTGGTCACGGAAGAGAAATGCATTAAATAGGTATTTAATTAAATCAATTGATTTTCAACAACTTATGAGGATGATTCGCAAAAGGATTGTCAGCTGGGAGTGTGGCGGCTCCTGTAATCCGGCTACTCGGAGGCTGGTTGTGTTGGAGGGTCTGAGGTCGGGGGCACCTGCTGGTGCGGGACTCACGTTGACTGGGCGTCCGCACTAAGCTCGCCATCAATATGGGCACCCTGGAGGAGTCCGGGGTGACCAGGTTAGCTAAGGAGAGGCGAACCGGGCCAGAGGGGAAACCCAGCAGCCAAAAGTCTCCGTGGCGGGCAGTAGTGGGATCGCGCCCGGGAGTGGGACCGCATCGGCAGCCTGGTTGATATGATCCGACACATAACTTTTGCACTTTTTTTTTCAATTTTCCAATAATCACCCAAGTCTCCCGATACACTTTCATAAAAACTTTGATTTTTTTAAGGAACTTTTATATGTATTTTTTTGCATATATAACATATTGATGTTTAGCTCGAAAATGCGAAGATAAATTTCGAATTTGTATTTCTCCTCCGTTTTGTTAAATATCGTTGATTATTACTTTTTAGGAATATATTTTTTTATATTTATTTAGGATTTAATATATATTTTTAATACGTTTTATATCTTAAAAAATTAAAAACAAAGAAAAATATTATAAAATTAAAATTGAACTTCTAGAAAAAGTAACGGTGGTTTTTGTTTACTAAAATGTAATTATATTTATTTCAGGTTTCTTCGATTGTGCCATTGAGACGGAAACAAGGGAAGTTGCAAAGAGATATAACATGTACTACGTTCTTATGAAAAAAATTTTATTTTATTATAACTATTGTTTTGTAGTGAGGGCGACAATGTTATCATTGCAAGAATTCGCAACTGTGGCAAGGGAATTTGTAAAATATAACATAAATATTTTAATTGCGTGTAAATCAATATCTTCCTGATACAATAAACTTTGCCGTTGTAATATATTCTTTTTCTTATCTAATATAAAAATCTATGATTTTTGCTTTTCTTTTTTCGCTTGTTCCGCCAATGCCTCTAGCCGATCGTGTTCCGCGATCAACGCATCCACTTCTTTCGCTGGCAGTATTTTCGTTTTTGTTTTACCATTTTCGCGCGTTAATATCGCCATTTCCACTATAAATAAAAGAAATGTCATTTTATTATGAATTATTTTGGAAAATCTACATTTATTTTATTAATTGTAAATCAATTGTCATAATTTATATATTAAAAAATTACCTTTCTCCGCAGAGAGTTTGTTCATATCTAATGTTTTAGAGAGTACTTTGATGGCGAGTGCCATTGCGTCTTTCAGGGTAGTCTCACCCTCTTTATATTCCTGCTTCAAGGATGACACCGCTGCTGCTGAATTATTTCCGATACAGGTTGCCTTCCAACCGCCATAGTTCCCGCTAGGATCTGATTGATACAATTGATAACCATAATGCTTGTCCCATCCTATGTATAAAATGGATACCCCAAAGGGTCTCTTCCCACCGTACTGGGTATACGCCTGTTTAACATCGCACAGCCATGAGACGAGTTGCTCGCAAGGTATCGGTTCGTTGTATTGAAGATAGTATCTTTGCGCAATGAGACGCAACTCATTTGTTAAGACATTTGCATCTGAAGTTATGCCTGCTACTGAACAAATAATATCTTCGTTCAATCTGTAAATCTTTTCAGAGAAGAATACATCGTCCAACAGCTTATTGGTATTGCGTTTCTCAGCTGCCAGTAGAATACCATCATTTGCCAATATACCTAGACAAGTACCAGCATGGCTTATTGCTTCCATAGCGTATTCAACTTGGTAGAGTCTCCCCTCCGGAGAGAAAATCGTGGTACGCGTATCATATCTGCGTGCCTAACAGAAATAACATATGTATAAATATAATGATCTTTAATTGAAAATATAAAATATTTTATTGCAATCGATTATTAAAATTTCTATTTCTATTCTATCACAGATATAAATAGAGAAATATGAAAACAAATAAAACAAAAACAAAATTACTATTAATTAAAATATTTCTCTGAATAAAATTTAGAAAATATGTAATACTGTATGTAATACTGTATTTCGTTAGAAATGTCAGAATATTTTAAACCAGATATATTAGCTTGATTTTGACATCTTGTAAATAAGATACGTTGTAAGAGCAATAAATGTAATTATAATCTGATCATATTTTAAAATTATGATAAATATTAATTTTAAGAAAGAAATATTATATCGAAATATTATATCGTCCTTTTTGATGACAGTGCATTTCCAACATAACCTATACACGAAAGTACAGCATTTCAAAGAATATGATTTCAAAGTTGATTAAATCTAAACTCAACTTGTAACAAGACTTATTAACTTACCATTTTGGGAGAAGATTTAAGTTATTAAAATATCAAACACTTGTATTAGAAAAATACCGCTTACAAACTCAACAATCCGATATCCTAACTCGAATGATTAGCAAGTTGATCGGTGGAACTCTCGACTACTCGAAAGTCGTCATATAAAATCGATAAAGATATATCGATATTTAGAATTATATAAATGTGCAGCATAGTGTATATATATATATATATATATATACACACACACACACACACACACATACCGCTGCACATTTATATAATTCTAAATTGCAATTTCCTTGCTGATTATATTTTAATTATAATTATATCATATATGATGATATATATATATATATATATTTATTTCATCATGTATGATATACAATTATAATCAAAATTATAATTAAAATATAATCAGCAAGGAAATTGCATTAGCTTCCAAAATTTTCAAAATTTTTTTAAATCCAAAAATTACAAAAAAAATAAAATTGATAAATATCATTGATATTGATACTGAATTTTTGATATATTGAAAGAATTTCGGCCAGTTTAATTTTTCCATTAACATATTTTTAAAAAATATTTCAATAAATTAAGAAAAGAAAATTTAGAGAGGACAAGTTTGGAGGATAGCGTTAGAGCTTTTTGGTAAAATTGAGATGCAGAAACTTAAAGGAAATAAATAAATATTGGATAGGAGAACAAAAAAGAATGTGTCTTCCGTGGAGAAGGAAAGGATAATATGGAATATTATGTTAAAGAATGCCAGAGAACTAAAGGATGATGGACGGAGATAAGTAAGGACAAGAAAGCGATTTTGAGGAGAATATGGGGAGAAGACCTAGATTGGGGAGAAGGAAAGGATAGAAGGAAAATAAGGAAAATATGGATAGCTAAGGAAAATATGGATAGAAAGGGAAAGAGAATGTAGGGAGAAAAGCGAAGTCTGTGGATAAGTTGTGATAGGTGTAAATAAATATTAAATGTAAGGTATAAAATGGAGAAGTAAGCAGAATTGTATTGTAGGATATTGTATTTATGAGCGAGAAATGATGTAAAAGAGCTTATAATGAGATTAGAGTAAGTTAGAGAATAAGATGGAAGAATGAGAAATAGGATGAATGAGAATAAGGATTTATATTGTAAACCAAGCTCCCTTCTTGACTATATCGCTGAAGAGTAAATAAATTCTATTCTAATTATAATATTTCAATAAAAAAATTATTTATTTTCTAATCTCTCAAAAATTTTCTATACACAATATTCGAGCATCATAATACTTTTTTTTAAAGGTAATATGTAAATTATTTTTTATTATTTATTATCGCTTAAAATCTACTCATTAATAAAAGACTCAATACAATATTAATATAAAAGTATACGCAAATATATTTGTAATCAAATTCAAAATATATTTGTTATATCCAGAAAAAATTTCTTCCAACTTTCTATAACTTTACTTACTGTATGAAATAAAAATATAAAAAATCTTTATATCTCCTTCTATTTGTAATGCCGATACAGGTTGCCTTCCAAATATTTGTGTATGTTTCTTTGTTACATCTATTTCATATGCATATATTTCATATGTCTTGTTATTTTATACACAGAAACATACAGATAGAGACTTAAATACTACACATCAAGTTTTTCTTTGGAAATATACGCATATTAATTCTAAATATATGCATTATTAATTGGTTTCTTTACTGATAAGTATACATACAAAAAATCATTTATTAATAGATGATTTTTTTTCATTAATATTGCCGTTTAATTAAAATATTTAATGCTGCAGTATGTTTTTAGTTATTAATATAAAAATTATTATTATTATAAAATATTGCGAAAAATAATTATTTTTTCAAAGCAAACTCTTGTTTCAATTTAAGTTCGTTCAATTGTTTGAGTAATTGTGCACTCTCCTCGGCAGCAGTGTTCTGAATATTTGTTAAATAAACCAACCGTTCATTAAGCTTTCTAAATGTCTCATTCCATGACGAATCTTTCTCAGCTGTATTATTATTAGTAGTTTGATCAATTGTTTCCTTTGTCGTTTCTTTCACAGGTTCTATCTTTTTGATACTTTTCTCATTCTTCAATAATGCTAGAAGTTTATCGATAGGTCGTTCAGTAGGCGTATTTGAAGTACTTGGACAGTATTTGTCCTTTTCATTCTTTTCATATTTAACTTTCGTCTCTTGATTTTGATCAGAAAGTGAAAAATTTTCTTTTTTTTATTGAGATGCTGGACATAATTTATCTCCTGGAAATATAATTCGTCAAGAAATTAAGATTATAAGAAAAAAATATAGATATACTTTACAATTACAATTATTTATTCATAGATAAGATAAATCAAATATTTTTGAATATTTCATACGCAAAAAGCATAATGTATCACCGTATCAGTACTTCTTATAGACTCTTCTACTTGTTTAGCAGTGTCATCTTCAGAATCAAAATTAGCTTGCATGTCTTTATCACAATTATAGATCTCCTTGTTGTTGTCTGCATCATTTTGCAAGGCTTGTGAATTATATAAGGATTTGGTATCAGCACGAGGAGGACGTAATGGTATTTCATTAACCTAAAGTTATAATGTATATAATGTATATTATATTATAATATATATTGTGTATATTATGTATTTAAATAAACAACGTTATAATTAAATTCAACATGTTTGCATGAAATGTTTTACCGTATCTCTGAAAGATGATGAAATTGCACTTGCAGTATGATAACCTCTGAGATTTGCTATACGCGCTCGTTCATCGTCTCTAAACTTTTTCCTTTCTGACTTTGACAACCCAGACACACATCGAAGCACTGGCTTTTTTGCTGAAACTTCCATCGGATTATAAGGTGGAACTTCTGGTTCCTGTTAAACAAGATATATATATTGTATAATATAAATCAATAATAATGTATATTAATTATAATAATAATATATATTAGTAATATATATTAATTATAATATTTAACATATTTTATATACCTCTTCCCAATTTTCTGTTGATCTATGTAAATCTATAAATAAAGGAGGCTTATCCATCTTTGGTTCAAACTCTAATTCTACCAATTTGCCAATACTTGAACATGTTTTAATATGTTCCTGCAATATTAAAGAATGTTAAGATTCATATTGATATAACAGAAAAAATGAAAAGATCTTTTATGCATCTGTATAAAGTTACCTTAAGTTTGTTGCAATCTACTATATGAGTTTTATCCACAGGACACTCAATCTTATTCTCTGTATTTTTAGAAGTTTTCTTGCATTTGGATACATGATCCATAAATTTAAATTTGCGAATGCGATGTGCAGAATTATAAGGACAGGTAACTAAAAGGTCTGCTTCCATTTCCAGAATTTAATTCTGTAAATTACAACATCAATTATCAAAAACTTATTATTCCTTATTATCATATCATTATCACATCGATATCAAGTTGAGATAATGAGTTTTTTATAAAATGCTTAATATAAATAAAAAAAGAATTTTCTTTTCAAACATTGTTTATGATAAACAAAAATACCTATATATTCTTATTGTCATTACATCATCGATAACAAATTCACATTCTCTATTGTATAATAAAATCAGGATTGCAAAATGTCAACAAAAAATAAAACAAATATAATACATATAACAAGTTAATAGAAATATTAAAATAAAAGATTTGTTTATATCATTCAATTTTCCATTAAACTTGCATAGTCTAAATATTTCAGCAGACAAAAATTTAAATATATTTAGTCTGACTATCATTAAGGACTGAGACAAATTTTCCAAAATGCTTTCTTACCCAGATAGTAAAACCTACAGAAACAGATTTTAATTAGAGCCTGCTATCAATATTTGATGGCAGAAGGAAAACAAATTGCATACAGTGTTTGTAATATCCAATGATGTTGGTAAACTGTTATCAAAAATAGGACAAAGCCTGCTGATATGTTACGCCAGCAGATTGGTTTCTGTCAATTTGCTGGCATAGCATATCAGCAAGCTTTGTCGACAAAACCTGAATCTAATGCAGATACAGATTGTTATCAATCTGTTGCAGTCAATATCCGGTCAAATTTGCTGCCAATCTGCCAACAAATTGCTAACATTTTGCTTGCTGGATGCCTAATTGACATATATCAAATCTTTTTCAATTTTCAATCTGCATAAGATAAAAAAGAAATTCTCGAAAAATATAAAAACGCTATAAAATCTATTTCTTTTTTCTTTATTCTGATAGATTTTGAACCCATTATTATACATTATAATATATTATACATTATAATATATTATATATTATTATATACTATACTATTATTATATATTATTCTTATTCTTTTTTCTCTTTCTTACGTGATATCCTTCTGTTGAACCTATATTAAAGATGATTGTTCTTGATCGATTTCTTGACAGTTTCCTTGCCAATTAATGCGTTATCTTTGTGTTGAATTGTTAAGGAACGGCGTGTTTCGGTTTCAAATTGCGTCTTATAACACATATACTGAAAGAGAATAAAGGCAAATTGGCAAACTAAAGGAATATAAGAACATACGATTCTCGATCATACGTCGCTTTTGTGTGATACGAATTTTAAAACTCGAGACAAAGGAAAAATAACAAGTCGTTTGATTTTTGACGTTATAAAGTACAAACTTTCGCAACTTACCTCCTTTTTCTAAACTTCTTTAGTGAGAGAATTAGCAACAAGTTGCTTCTCTTCTTCTCCTTCTTCTACCTCTTTCAGCCACAGCGCACATAAAAAACTTAAACAGTAAAATTTAAGCAGGAACTTAAGGAAATCAACGTATGTGATCTCGACTGTGATTGGTTGCTTATTGCTTAAGTTTTTCTGCACAAGTTTTTTTTGTGTGCTATGGCTGGTTGCACACAAGACGCGGCAAAGCAGTAACCAATCATAATCAATCTTGTTTTCTAATATATAACTTCGTTACATATCAGAAGATAAGACGGTGATTGGTTATCACGTTGCCGCTTTGCCGCATCTTGTGTGCAACCTTTCAATTGGCTTTTAATCTCTTCTCGAAATGATTGGACAAATTAGATAGAAATCAAAACATTTTACAAAAACAAGTCACTAGAGAAATATTTTTCAATAGAAGACAAGTGAAATTCGAACGATGAACCAAACCGAAATAATAAATTGATGGCGCGAAATTTGAATCAACTAAAATTCATGTTAACTCCAGATAATTTTGAAAAATTTTTTTAAAATTATTAAAAGTTATTTCAATTTTTTTAGCTTCTTATTTAATTATCAAGAAAAAAATAATCATAAATATTTTAAAATATTCAAAATATAATATCTTAGGCACTTTTTGAAATATTAGTACATCTTAAGAATTTTTTCGTGCAATAAGGAACAATAATTTCTTCATACAATTTATCTTGTATAAACTTGTCTAAAAAAAAAGACAGTAACAAATATTATATATTTTAAATATTCGAAATATAATTTTAAGATACATTATTGATGTTTTTATTATTTTATGTTCTAAATTCACTTTCTGAATACTATTGAATTATCAACAAGAATTCTATAATATTAATTGAATAAAGAATAATGATACAATAATTTCTTTATACACTTCACTCTTTATTTCCTTTGACTATAATAACTTGAACTCTTTATACACTCTCATAGCCTAAGTACGTGTAAATATAATAACAGAAATTAACATATCATAAAATTCATTGTATCCTTATGTTTACAGATTCTGCTACTCATGGAATGATTGCACATATGTATTTCACAATTGCAATTCCGTTGATAACCCTCAGGCAGGAATGGTGATTTCTGTAAGTCTAGATATATCTTTCAATTAAATTGTAAAAAATATGAATTTTCACACAATGCGCAAAGTGATTGAATATTGCACGCACAAATTTGTAAATTAATTGTAAGAATTTATCAAAAACGTATCATTTTTAACGGTGTTACTTAATTATTATCTCAGAACACGAATTACAATAAAATGCGTGTGATATAAATTCTTTTTCAAAATGTGAATTAGCTTTTGATATCAGATAACATTCAGAAATCATGTCATAAAAAATATAACTACAATTTTATAAGATTTAATAAGATTTTCTTAAAACGTATGAAGATATATTGTATAATACAAATTTAAGAATCAGTGTTGCACACAAGTTTGTAAAAAATACACGTCAATTATCTTGATTTCACATTTAAAAAATACAATTGTACAGTTAAAAACTTATCAGAATAAAATGAAAAAAAAAAACACATTCAAATGTTTTATTTTTAAAATTCAAGATGAAAGAAGCTAATATTTATATCCAATTTTAAACTCTGCATATGTAACTTCTCAATAATAATAATAATAATAATATATATATTTTTTTTCAAATATATATTTTAAAATTTGCTTCAATAAGAACAAATACATGTTTGACTAATTTCAGAAAGCTAATTCATTCGAGCGTTATGCACACATTTATAAATAATGCAGGGCAATAAATATACAATAAACAGATACATACATCTCGGTAAATAATCGAGTACAAGTATATAACTCGCGCGCGATCTGTACCGACAATATATTAAGTTATATATCACACAAATTAGCCCACAGAGATTTTTCGGAAACACTCCTGCATGAGCTTACACAAATTTACATTAATGGAAGTCAGAAGTCCGATCTACTGCTATCGTCATTCAATTGTTTAAAATTAAAATTAAGTAATTCTTAATCGCGCAGCGAATTTAGTCAATCATCGGATGAGCAATTAACGTTTCTCATTTGTTAAGTTCATACAGGAATTCATTCTCTCGTTTTAAAAGCGCATTCTCGATATAGTAATTATGCACAAATCGGAAATTCCATAAATGATCAGTAATGTCCATGTATGATGCATTATTATAATATAGTTCTTCCCTTTCCGTAAACGCTGGCATAAAATGGCATTACGAGTAACTTAACAATGCCTGAACGAGGCATTTAAAAGAGTTCTTCAGTTTGTCAATTTCCCTTACGGCAGAATACATGATTCATCGTATCAATGTACGGTTTTAATGTACAATCTTGATATCTGTACATAGTTCAAGGAACTTTTTTACGCAATGTACAAGTGATGTATAGATTCATAAAATATTCCATGTACATCAATTCCAATATATATACATATATTGTATATGTTTGTGGACTTGTGATGTATACAACATTTTAAAATTTTAGGCACATCGAGCACACAACAATGATATACGTACACAATAAGCCTTAATTATAGGAGCGCGATAACTTTTGTACATATGTATCTTCCAATATAATTAATAGTATACAAACTAAACACAGCAGCAGTTTTATGATTTGATTGAATCATAACACAGCAGAACTCGTATATATATTATTGTATATACTCATGTAATATTTATAAATATATATTATCGTGAGTAACTAACGCTTTATAAAATATCTATTCTATTTCTGTAAATTTAAGAATATTTATGGATTTGATTACTGCAACGTAGTAACATTAATATACGTTTTATCATATGACATTCTATAAAGATATATTCGAGAACTCTGATTACTTTCAAAACTAATAATGACAGTTATATAACAAATAATAACAATATTCATTGAGAATTAATTATCAAAGATATTCATGTAACTATCTTATATATGAAAAAATCCAAGTTATTTTATAACGACTCATTATATCAAATTTTATATTTTAATAATTATTGTATTTTTCTATAGCGGATGCTTTTTTATATACTTTCATTATTTTAATCACTCGATATCGTTTGAAATACGTAACATTGTACATATATTTTGTATATATATTTAATATGTAAAAACTTTTAGAGATAAAAATCTTTGTAATCATCACGTTCGCAGATTGAATTAACAATCTCTTTTTTGTTGCTATTAATAATTTATATTGTATAATTTTGTTATATTATAACTATAACAATAAAATCACATTAATCATGTGTTTTCATCAGTGCAGTAAAATAAACGACGTAGCATTATTACATTATTGTACTGATTATGCAAAGATGATTAACTTTTATATCAATAATGTAAGGCAGTATGGCAATACTAAAGTTTTTCAAACAATGTGTGTTTGTGGCGGTAATAGGCATCTAGTTTCAATAGCAACAATAAACTTTAGCATTTTACATGTTCTCTATAAAAAATTCTGATTTTTCTCAGATTAGCGACTTGTAAAATATTTCATCTCAACTTCTCGATATATATTTAAAAATTATAGCCATGTACGCTCCAATAACCAAGGCAAAATTATGTATACGTGTATAAACATGTTCCGTATAGATTAAGAATCTACAAATATATAGATTTATTTATATATGTATATGTATAGATCTTTATATATATAATATTTATATATATATATATATATAATTTGTTTATATAATATATATAACACGCGCGATACAACGAATACTGTTAGGTGTATTTTAAGGCACTCGTGCGAATAAAAATCTAAAAACAATTTGAAACAAATAAAGAAAAACAAAGTCTCTAACTTCAATAACAATTCATAAACTTACACACCTAACTATTGTATTTAGTTAAATTGGTCCAGAACTAGAATTGATGAAAACATTTTCACTCTGTGTTGAACTCCATAAGATAAATTAAGAAACAGCGTCAAATAATCGCCGAATAAAATTGATCAACCCTGTATAATATAACTGTAGCCTCTCAACAAGTAATATTATTAGAACTCTGTCTAAAGCCAGGAACTAGTGCTTTTAAGGAATCATATCACCCTTGACACACGTTTTCACACTCTAATCAAAATGTACAATACAAAGCTTTCCGACTCAGTATCGTTTACTATCGAACTGTATCCTTCAATAGTTAAATATATATTTTAAATAGTTTAAAAATCAAAAGTGCAAAACACACGTGAGAAGGGAGCATGAAACTATCACTGTAATATATAAAATCTGTGTTAATAGAGACTTTGGGGTTGATATATCATGCGGAGCATCACTATCCAGTGCTTGAACACTGTGCACATTATGAGATAATAACGCGTATGTTTAGCCCGTATATTTAGCGCGTATATTTTGCACGAAGAAATTATATGTACCGCAAATTGAGATTGACCTCGAACTTGTTTCGAGAAAATTCTTTAATATTAATATCACGGGGTTTCATTCAATAGAGCTTCTGTGTTATGGCATTCATAGGTACTCATCAATATCTAGTAACGCTGGATGCAGATTCTCTCTTTTCTAACGCTTACCACAGCTTTTGCATTATTAACTACGGCATGAGCTATGAGACATTGTTTACTTTGCGTAATCTATAACTGTAGTTTCAATAAATATAGCAATGATAAAGTTTTTTTACGAAGAATATATATATACATGTATATCTCCTCTCTCTCTCTTCACCCGTTTTACGACACACGATTTGATATCATTATATTTAAAGTAACATCAATAAAATATTATAAATAAAACAACATTTAGATAAAATATGACAAATAAAATTTTATGAGCAATCATAACGCTTAAACAATAAAATAAAATGTTTCGTCATTTCGAGTATACTTAATACCAACACACAGTGAATTCGATTTCTTTATATATAAATCGCAAATAGATCTATTAAGTAAACTCTTCATTACGCAAGATAAATTATTGTGACATCTCATAGCTCAGGTTCTTTTACATATATCTATATGTAGGAATGTTTCATTTCCCATGTTTATTTTCCCTTGTACAATGTCTCTATCAGAGACATAATCGTATCATAAAACGTACCTTTTTTTTATATAATTTTAACCGTATACGTTTTTTACTAACATAACGTTGCCAGTGTACATATTTTTGCAAACTGGAATGACGAATTGTATGTATATACCCATATGTACGCGTGTATGTATTTATATCTACGTGTTTTATATATAAGTCTCTTCATAATATAAATAAAAATTCGCAATGTGAGCACATTCAGCAAATTGAACATCACTCATAAAACTTTGTACAAATTAAAGACCGTAGTCTCTCTTGAGAAAGTGTAAATAATCGAACGTGTATTATTTAGCTTTGCTAAAATCTTTGGCTAAAACGTCTAATAATGCGAGCTAGAAATGTACCTCGGGTAACTCTTTGTTAATGATGACCCACATCAGTTGACTTAGCTAAAAAATCAGCAAACTTTTTTAAAGCATTCGTATCTAGCAAATAAAATTTCGATGGCCGACGCTGTTAATAGTGGCAAACCAATTAACCGTTTGCGATTTAATTGCGATATAAAATATTCGCATTATCTTTCACTATCTTTGACAATGCCTATAGAAGATTGCACTGTAAGCCATTATTATGTAATCACAGTAACCGTAACTTATAATCCAAATAACTTACTCGCGATTCATTTATCAACGTCGTTTTCTTTCCTAGGACTTTGCTGTGTGCGATCGAAACACTTTGTGACATCCTAAGAAAAAAGATAATATATTCATTATTTATATATCAAAGAAATATGCAAGCCGACTGTTACATTATTATACATGTAAATTCTTATGATACAATAATCAATGCGTAATAAAGTATTAATAATAAGGAGAGTAATATGCATGATAGTTAACAGTGAAAAAGGAATGTACCGACGTACCTGTACCGCAATTTGTAACGGCGTTAATTCACCTATGGAGCAATCACTTCGTATGACATTCGCCGGTACTAGCCTGGGACAAGGCATGCCCGTAAAGAGCGTGAACAGTGCATGAATGCTTCTACGTTGTGTCAATTCTATGTGACGGTGTTGATATCCAGCCAGATGCCGTCGATGCCGCGATGTTGTAGGGAACCATCTCTCGCACAGATTGCAGTATCGCCTATGCTTTATCGTCGCCTGCGGGAGAGAAAACGGGATGAGCAAAAGACGCCCCAAATCCACAGGAAAGAAATAAAATATCCTTTAAAGAGAATAACGACTTATAAATAAAACAATTTTTTTTCTTACCTTCTCGTGATAAGCTAATTGAGTTATAAATTCGGCGATGGACATCTCGCTCTTTTTATGAATGTCCTTCGTATCGCTCTCGACTTTAATACTCGACAATATGATTTTATCATCCGTCAGTTTGGATTCCGTTACATTGAGATCCTCGCTATCCTGAATCGTGATGACCGGTGGGGATCTGGAACTGTCTCTGTCCGAACTCGCGTTGAAATCTACGTCGACTTCGGGTTCCAGTATCGGCATATTATCTTCCTTTGGCTTGTTTTCCTTCGCATTGCTCGTGTTATTCCTTTGATCGGTGGATTTTGATATTTTGGGAATTTTGTAGGATGACATCCGACTTTCCTTTTTCCATTGTGGATCTTTCAAATGAGGAACACCATCGTCAACTCGGTCCACTGTATTCTTCTTTCTTTTCTCGTTCAAGTATACAGTATGAATTGAACTCTCATCCGAAGCAGTTTGACCAAGCCGTTTGAAAGCTTTCAAGGATATCGTAGTGCTTTCGGAAGTATCCTTCACCTTCTCCTTGGAATCCGTTTCGTTTTTCTCGGGTGATTTCGATTTCTTCTTCACGAAGGAACTTTTGCTTTGTTTGGAATGTTTGTTATCAGACTTCTCGGCATTAGATATATTCTCAGTCTTGTGTTTATTCGCCACGGGTGTCGAGTTCTTCTGAGACGTAGCGTCGCTATGACAGCCTGGAGAAGCGTCACTCGAAGGTGCCTCCGAGAAAGTGTTCATAGTAAAACTCGTGCCCTGCTTCTTCTCCGCGGCTGTCTTCGGTCTCGCGTTACCCTGTATCGCGCTAATCTGTACTTCGCATTTAGATTTCGAAAGGCACTTCTTCAAGGTCTCCTTAGCCGCTAGGACTTCTTTTATCAAGGAGTCATTGCAGCAGAAATTTTCCCTTGTAGCGAAACCTGCCGCCTTGCAACATGAGGCTTTAGAAGAGATCTCTCTGACGGAACCAGCCAAATCGTCCTCCAATGCAGATCTATTGCCGCTGATATCGATATCCACGACACGTTTATCTTTCCCAGGTGAATTTTTGCTGTAAGAAGAAGCTTCGGATTTATTGTAACATCCTACCTTTGCGATTTGATTGCCTGACTCTTCAATAATGGCATGTCGTGAATTGTAAGAAGTAATAGGATCAAGTTTTGGCATCGGTACGTCCAACAGATCTGTATTGCTATTGTCCGTGATTTCCAATTCCAACTCGAACTGGGTCGGGATTGCGTCAGCTGAATACAACTGCTCGCTATCGCCATCCTCCACGTGCCTCTCCAGCTCGCTATGATCATTATCCGGTAAAGCAGGCAGGATCTCTATGGTCGACTGGCTCTCATCTTCGGAGGACTCGACCTTAATTACAGTGCTAGTAGCCATTTCGAAATTATCCAACTCCATACTCGTGGAGTCATCCTTAAGCAAATCGATATCACTGCAGTCTTGCAGAGTGCAATCATCGTGCATATCGCTGGAGACATTCGGACGTTCCTTCTTTATTATAATCTTACTATCGACTTTGTTTGAGAAAGAATCATCATCTCGCTCTTTCGTCTGCTCTTGGTCACTTTGTAAATTGACTTCTTCGGACGACATTTCGCTCGGGCCAGACGATTTTTCGAAACAGTTTTCTATCTTCGATGTTGTTTTCAATTCTTTTAATGTGAGCTTGAAGTTTGAACTGCTCGAGTGTTTCGCAAGGACGTTCTGCTGGTCAAGCTTATTTAAGATTGTATCTTCGCCCGTCTTCGTCGCTTGTTCGCGATTGATATCGGGATTATCAGTCTTGTGCTTATCGCATTCAGAATTACTCTTCTGTGAATTGGCTCTTTCAGATGAATGATTGATTTCCTTATCAGACGAAGGAACGTCTGCCTCTACTCGTGGATTATTGTCACGAGATCTCGATCTACGTTTATTGTCCTTTCGACATTCCCCAGCTGATTTATGACTTCTGGATGATGCAATCTTTTTCGGCGTGGTACACTCCTTAGAATCTGCATCTTGCGATGGCGCAAAATTCACGTTAATTTTCGCGTCGCCGACTTTTCTACAGTCGTAATCCGACATTCTCCTCTGCTTACATTTAGCCGGGAACAAGTCAGACGTTGAGTTTGACCTGGATAATTTATAGTCACTCTGTTTTTCTCGACAATGATCATCCTTGTGATTCGCCGACATTTTGTCGATGGCTCGTAATGTAACAGGAGATAGAGTTAACTTCAAATCTTTCACCATACTGTCCAGAATTTGGTACCTTTCCAGCTTGACTTCTGGCTGCCACTTCGCACTTTTTGCGATAATTTTTTTACAACTCTTACTCAGCTCGCACTTGAACTCCGCGCTGGCCGACGTTCTCTTGATAATTACTTTGGGAATTTTCTCAGAAATGCGCATTAAGAAATCTTTCTTTGTTTCGTAGTCCTGAGCGTTTGTCCGCGCGGTTGAATCGGAGGAGCTGCTGCGTTTTGTGGAATGGTCCGTCGCATCGCGTCCCGATCTTTTATATTTTTTGATCGGCACCTCCGAATAGCTCGAGCTCTGTCTCTTTCGCGTCACTTCCGGAGACGACGACCTATTTCTTTCTTGCTTCTTCAATTTCAGTACAGGTATCTTTTCCTCGTATCTCCCAAAATCTCTCGATTCCTGAGAAATCATGCTGTTGCAAACGGAATTATTCGCAAGGTCGGACCTCAAGGTACTCTTGATCTTCACCTTCGGTATCGTTTTCTTTACACTTTTGCGTTTAACGCAAATCTCCTCGTCGTCCTCGTCGGCCCTCACTATTTTACTGGAGTGCTTCTCGTCCAGTTTGATCTTCATCTTGGGAATCTTGTTCCTGTAACTCAATTCCTGCAGAGAACATTCGGAGTTACTCTCGCACGACTCCTCGTTCAAAAACAAAGTCCGATCTGAGATGTTTGTTTGAGGAATTGCGGGTATTTCTTCGCGAACGGATTCGATGGATGGAGTACTCGGACGGGACCTCGCGTTTCTGATGATCATCTTTGGTATTTTCGGCTGGCAAACCGACTTGTTAGCCGTTATGACTTCTTGCATAACAGAAGAGGAACTCATCTTCGTAATAAACTTGGAGCTAGTTTCGCTTTTCTTAATGACGAGTTTAGGGACAAGCTTTGTGTTAGCGTTGCAATCTGTTGCACGCAAGTACGCCACCTTCTCGTAACTACTGGAAGAAATTTGATTCCGCTCCTTGTTTTCATCATTGCTCTGCGTCGTTTTAGATTCCTCGATCGTTGTTACCGATTCAATTATGGGCTCGTCGATCATTTTGCTTTCAATTTCGGTGGTTTCTCCCACAGCACGAGGCTCCTTAATAGACGACATCCTCGAGAGGGACAAGTGATCTAGGAGCGAGTTATCCTGCAGCGAATTAACTGCGCATGTAAAATCAATCAACGACTCGTCGATACTGCATAAACGATTGACAGCATCTTCCTGGATTTGGCTCGTCTCCCACACCATCGGCACCATGCTGTCATCCTCTGTGAAATCGTGCTCAGACATTTGCGTCAGCGTGCATCTGTCCTCGACGTAAATTCCGCAGTCGGAAGAATCCATGCATAATAATTTGGAATCGCTTATGTTATCGCAATTTTTACGATTCGCCTCAGGCTCATGACACTGCTGTTTGTCGCCTTTAATGATACTCTTGATAACAGTAAACTCTGATATATTTTGCTCGTGATTCTCGTTCCCGAATAAATCGCATACATTTTCCTCCGTTCGTAGATCCAAAGCAGCGGCTGGAGTAGATGTCATCGTTGGACAACTGTCATGTTGGACAACTTCGTCGTTCTTTTGATCCTTCAACGAGACTTCAATTTTTTGTGCATTTTCGTCCTCACCCTTTTCCGATAGTCGTTCTTTATCCTCTTCGTCGAGCGTTCGTTCCGTGGAAACAACATCAAGGTGATTTTGCGAAGCAATCGATTCGTTTTCTGTAGACACCGCAAGGTTTCCTCTGTCACATTTTATATTTTGTTCAATTGTCTGATCAAAATTAATCTCGGCCGAAATATTCGATTCTACTGCAGGCGCAATTTCTTCCCTATCTTTGCAATCGATCGAAGGTGATGAAACTTGTTGATACGTGCTTTCTTGAATCACGATAGAGTCTGAATCATCTTTCGTCGATTTATCGATTTCATTATCCAAAGGAAGTGTAGATTCTTTCACTGCTTCTGTGTTTTTTGTTTCATCGAGTGCATCCCTAAATTCAACGTTTGATTTAGATGGACTTGAAACTTTGATAGAATCTTCGCTTTCTTTGACAGAATCTTTATTTTCTTTGACAGAATCTTTGTTTTCTTTGACAGAATCTTCGTTTTCTTTGACAAACTCTTCCGAGACTTCTTTTATATTTGCAACTTCAGCAACAGATTTATCTTCTTTTGGAGAAACAGCACAATGAAGATCCGTATTGTCTACCTGATGTTCCGTTGAGGGTTCCTTATCCTTAATGTAATCCGTAGAACATTCATTATTTTCTGACTCGTGAATTTTCTCGTCTGCTATTTTAGGAGAACAAGATCGTGCTCTCTCAGTAAGTTCAATCGCACCAAATTTAGATTCATCAAATCGAGATTCTTCATTTTTTGTATGTTCATCGTTTTCATTCTGCACATTCAATGATGTATTATGCATGTTTTCTGGCTTATCATTATCTGCTGATGCATCATCCCGATTATTACATCCATTTTCTTGTTCATTACACGAGATAGCGTCCAATTGTTCACACGGCAAATCTTCGCCCCGAATCGAATGTAGATCATCGGGATAGTCGCAATGTAACGGCTCGTTTGTCACATCGCAATTCTTACAATTGCTGTTGTCTAAAGAATCCTGTTCCACAGGCAGAAACGGGAAAGAATCGAGTCGTTTCTCCGCAGTGAATATCTCACCGAAATTCAACTCTTTCATATTATTGCTGTTTCTCCTATCAATGTGAGAAGAATATGACTTGATCGATTCCATTGTTTCTTCCCAACAAGCAGTTTTTGGTCCCAGTAATAAATTCGAATCGAACACAAAGTTTTCGCTATACGCTTTCTCGAGATCATCCGCAAACACTTTCGCCTTATAATGTTTAACGCTGGACGTTGGTTCGTTGTCCAGATTATATTGTTTTTCAAGAAAGTCCAAGTCTACGATATCCTTCTTGTTACTCTCTTTATTTTCTTGACTATTCTTGTTTATGTATAACTTATCCGCATCGTCGTTGAAAAATTCCAAATGCGAGGTACTTCGGACTTTCGCGCAGTTAGCGCTTTTGTGAGTGGCGTTCCGATTTGGCAAATAATCAACGTGTTTCGCCACGGGCTTGGCGTCGACAGGATCGATATCCCTCTTCCTACTGGCGTTGGTAACATCGCGATTTCTCTTGAAGACTTTTCGTAATTTGGAGCAATTGTAATAATCATACGATGGAGATCTCGCCAAATATGATTCGCGGGCATTACCGTGACCGTCCTTCGCACGAGCCTCCATAATTAGCTCGCGGTACGTGAATCGAGGATTAGGACTGTAGGTTATTTTTCCATCTTTGGTAGTGTACACAGGAATTGTATTTAAATTCTCCAGCTCGTCCGCGCTGAAGAAGGTCGGATTTACGTAACCGCTGGCGGTTTCGTACAGGTCGAAGTTGCTGAATCTACCATCGTCTCTCTTTGATCTTTTCCACTTGTCGATACGTTTGTCGCCGATGTCCGTATTGTCATTCGGCGCAACGTCGAAGTGATCATAATCGAAATGCGTGGTGTTCTCATAATTGGTGTCTTTCAAGGGATCCGCTGAATTCGAGGAAGTCGACGGAACCGCGTTTAATCTAGACGCGGTGTCGTCTTGTAAATTTCGTGCGCCCTTGCATGAATAAGCGGCGGTCGCTTCCTGATGCTCCTTTTTCTGTACGCTGACATTCCTCGATGTTGAGCTTAAATATGACGAATTATTCGAAGATGCTTTTAATTCTTCGCTAGTAGCAGTGATCTTTCTTTCCGTGTCTTGATGCCCGCTTCTCCTTCTGATTGCCGCGTGCTCCGACTTTGAGCTTTCCAAGGCGCTTGATGTCAGCTCAGTTTCAATATTACCTGAAAGAATATCACCACGTAAGATCACGTCGCAACTGGACGATCTCGCACGAGTATTCGAGAACGTACCGGTAGTTTCGTATACGTTATTGATTAATTCTCGTTCCGACAAGGAACTTCGCCTCTTCTTCGAAAGCGAGTCGGCTGTCTCGCTATTCGCGTCTTCCTTGCTATGATCCTCTTGAGCTTCGTTATACGTAGATGCATCCATTACAGCGGGCGGCGATCGATTGCGCTTTTCGTAATCGCGGCCATCCGCTTTGTGTTCGCACTGAATTTCCGTTATACTCGTCGAATTCGATCTGGCCCCGTTCGAGATCGAATTCGTCAGGTGGCCGATCGTCTCAGCGACAGCGTTCTTGATATTCTCGTGCAACAATTTCTCCGTCGTGTTCCGTTCTGTGCACGATACATTTATCTCAATTTTGATCGCATCAAGAGAGCCACTATTCTTCGCCTCCTCTCCCGAATGTTGCGATTCTTTCTTCTGGTGATCGTTATCCTTGAGTTTTAAATTCACATTTGTGACCTGAATGGCAAAGTCGGGATTTATATTCTTGGTTACAAATGTCTTCAAGATGTTCGCACGCTTCCCTTCTGGTTCCTCGGGTGACTTAGACTTCACGGTTTCCTTCTGATACAGATGCTTATCGCAAGACTGCGACATAGATCGCTCGTCAGAATTCGACGAAGAATGGTATTTTTTATTTGCCGCATAATGAGAAGTCTCCTGCTTATCCTTGCCTTTATCATGAATTTCTCCAACGCTGAATGATTTATACTTCATTTTCCTGTATTTTTTCAGAAGCCGCATTCTTTCTCCGCTGTCGTCGATACTAATGTTTTCGATCACTTTCGGTTTATTATGCGAGTTGTCGGATCCTTTCGAATTTTCGACAGTACAGGATTTATTTTTATATACCGATGTTTCTTGAGTATGTTTACTGTGATGTACGATGGTTTCGCTGCATATATTCGTCGTATTTTCTGACAGACATCTCTTCCGGTGAGAAATGTCCTGATCACTCGTAACAGATCTCTTGTGATCCGCGAGCTTAACGTTTCGAGAATCCTTCGCATCGATTCTCATCGATCTGTTATCGCTGGCGTTCTTTTCCGAGGAAGGATTCTTCTCCTTCACTTCGCCTTTCCTCGATTTATCGTTATTCAATGCCAAATGTTTTGTACTATGTGATATAGCTAAATTATTTCTAACAATTTGTGAGCTATCTCCTGGCCTTGAGATTTTAAAAGCAGCGTCATTCGATAATGAACTTCCCATGTTCGTTGCCTCCGTTTGAGTCAACTCGCAATTCGCGGTCGAAACGCATTTCTTTCCGGTATAATTAACGTCATCGTGACCATCAACAGGATAATTATTCGTCTCATTGGGCAAAATGTCATCTGCTTTCATCGCACTCGTTTCCGTTTGTAATTTTTTATGAACATCCGGACTCACCGCTTGAGATTCATTAGGACGACGCTCGTTCATTGAATTTTTATAATCCCGTGCCGATTTATTCTGCATTCCTGTTGACACGATCTTTAATTCATACTCGCCGGAGGTCAGAGTCATACGCATACTATTGGCCCCTACAGTATCCGTTTGGTCATCGAGAGCGAACACTTTCTCACCGCTGTTTACCGAAGCAGAAGTTCCATTCAGATTCGCACATTGTTTATTATTTTTCGCAGATATTGTAGCATCATTTTTATCAATATTCGCAGAAAATTCAAATGTGCCAAGAATAGTATCGTGAGCGAGCATATTACTATTGCCATCATTGTCATTGTTTTTGAAGCGATTCTCCGTTTGATATTCACTTTCTAACGAATCGGTTGACTTATTCCTGACGGTTCCCTCGCTATTCAAATGATCGTAGGGCTCCCCTTTCGTCGGCGACTGTGTGAAACTGATCATAGGACTGTTCTGTATAATTTCGATCGGATTCGCCGGTATTGTGAGATCCTCGACACGTTCCGACGATTCCTCGTTGTCGGAATGGATCGGCGTGTTCAGCGTAGTGGAGATCGGGGTGCATTCGGATGTGGGCAGATCCGGCAGGCTTATATCGTCCGGATTATGAGATTCCTCGCTCGCGAAACTGCTCTGCTTCTTCAGATTCGTGTTTCCGGAATCCGAATTGTCCTTCGCGGGTGTAGGTAGAACCGCGATCTCCTGCTCACTTACTCGCGACATTTGCGACGTAACCTCAGCCGGTTTAGATGGAGAGGAACTTTCGACAACGTATTTCTTTTTGCTCAAGTCGGCGTTGTATTCTGCCGCGGCCGGTTCAATCGCAGCGTCGCCATCGGTCTTCTTGAATTTATCGGCTTCGATGGTTATCGCGCCCGTTCCCTCTTGAAAAAACGACACCGCATCCTGTCTCTCCAGAGCCTCCGTGACCTGACCATTGGTGACCTGTAGAATACTACCTATTTCTAAATTGTCCACTATATGTATCGTCGGTACCTCGTCAGGCCCGTTGCTTATGCACTGTATGATGTGACCGCCCGATCGCACGATGCCCTCCTTCGCGATGGCCTTGCACGCTGCGTCCTTCGCAATCTCGACATTTTCCGCGGATGAATACGATATCGTAAGGCAATCCTGCGCCGGCACCACGCCGATGTTGCTCTTCTCTTGATTCTCGAACGTTATGACACCAGGAGCGATCCCCTCGGGCTTGGAGACCTCTAGACCCTCCAACGTTTTCCCTGTGAGATCCACATTCTCGTAGCCGACGACCACCACCGGTGTCGAGTCGCTCAGAATGGCGCTCGGTAAGCTGGCAGTCGCGCCATCCTCATCCTCCGACTCGTCCCAGTTGGCGAGAAACTGCCGTACGTCGAGCTCCGGCTTGTCGGCGAATTCCTTGGACATTTTTTGTTGTATAGCCGTGTCACCCGCGTTCACAGTCAGATTATTGAAGGTCTCGCTCCCTGCCTTCTGGACTTCGAACTGATTCTGATCGAGGCTTTTCTGCGCGGGATATTGGTCTTGCTTCTGCCCGCTTTCCGCGCACAAAGCAGTCACGTGGCCGTCGTGTTGTTGCGAAACTACTTGCTCCGGCTTTTGGACGTTGCGATTAGCCATTTCGGGAACGCCGCTGCCGTCCTGCTTGATCTGCTTGTCTACCGAGCTGTCTACCGGTACTACTTGAGAATTTACCGGTTGTTGCACTCTGGGGAAGCCTTCGGGCATATAATTAGAATTAATCAGAACGCCATTCTGATCAAATTGCAAGTTTATAGGTGGGATGGCAGAGGTATTGACAGTCGATGCGGCGACGCACGGAGGACTCTGCTGGACTTGCCCTTGATATGTGACGGACTGCTGCAACTTCAGTATTTCCCTATATCTATGAACACATTCCTTATATTTGGGATGCGATTGGTACCCAGGTATCCTCGTCAATTCCCTGAGATGATTCTCCATCGAGAACCTCTGCATCGCTATCTTCTGTTGATACATCTGGTAGCGCGAATGCGGGGAAGTGTGCATAGTCGATGTTTGCATCCTGTTCACCATGGATGCGTTGTCGGCGGTCTCCTGGCAATCGTGCGAGGTGTCCGTTGGTAGATTCCTCGGATACTGCGAATTGTAGTAAGTATTCTGCGCGGGTGGCATCATGCTTGGATTCGAAGCATTCGTGGACGGCATGCTGTTTGGCATCATGGCACCACCGGCTTGATACGACACTTGTTTGTTGTTATATTTCTGCTGAGGCATCGCGAAGCCCTGTTCCGGATGTTTAACCATCGTCTGATTCGGCACGTTCATGCCGCTCATCTTGGAATATTCCTTAACGTTGTACGGATACTTTTGGTACTCTCCTGTGTAATTGTAGTTCTGCACGGGATAGTTCTGCAACATGCCTGAAGATGATGGATAGCTGCGAGAGAGCATGCGGTCTTTGCGATACTTAAAATCTGGAAAGTTCCTCCGCTGATCCGCATTAAGCCCGTTAGGTGGTGGTACCATAGGCGTCAGAATCTCCTTACCATCGAAATTGTCCTTCCTGAAATTGTACTCGTTCCCATATCGCCGAGCATCCGTCTGGTATCCAGTGGACGAGCGAATATTCTCCCTGTAGGCCGCGTTGTTCTGATAAGAGCAATACTTCTCCCATTGCTGGTAATTTATATTGGGATCCGGATTACAGCATAATCCTTTACAGGGAACGTAAGACGGCGGGGGACCCGTCCTACCAGCAGCATGCGAATTCACGTTGGTGTTTCGTGGCCCTATCGGCGCGTGCGGTGCATTCATGTTCATCACATTGGGTCCATTAAGATGCGAGATAGGCCCATTTAAAGGCACCTGGTTGTTCCTATAGCCCAGCTCCTCGTTTATACCGCCTATCGCAGCATTTCTCGGATCCATAGAACCGTTCAGATTATCCACCATAGGGTTTCTCGTATTCGAAGGCCCATAATGGCCAATGCAATTCTGCATCTGCACCATCGACGCCAGGGGATTGTTGTCGGCAGCATTATGGCCATGCGAAATATTACTCGATAGATGCGGCTGAAAGTGCCTCGGATTGAAATTGGAATCGTTTTGATGTTTCTCGAGTCCCTCCGAACTCAGATTCAAACTGTTCAACTGCGTTGGACAGGTCGGGCTGATACTGGAAATAAACGGTAAGTGTCCTGAATTGACATTTTGAGCGGTCGATGTTACGTCGTTTATTCCTGATTGTGGAGGGTTATATTGATGCCAATCTGGCATATTCCCACTGTAGTTCATTGTACATTGTTTTGATATTATTTTGCTATGATTACATCGTTCTCCTTATTCACAGAAATCTGTCCAAGTGTTAAAAGCAGGGGATTACCTAAGAAGAAGAGAGGGTATTATTTGTTACATGATCATGTTGAAACTTATGTATCATTACTATAATTATTTCTTGTAACGTAAATATTTTCGATATCAAATAAAATTATCTCTAAAAATAAATGTCTATGTGCCTTTTATATTATTGAATTCTTGCATTATGCTACGAAAATAATTATTCTTATTTGACGAATAAACAAAATAGTTTAAATTTGACAAAAAGAATATAAACAAAGAATTTTTAAATAAAAAAGGACTTATTCCAAAAATTATTTTTTAACGAGTATTAAAGTTGTATCAGGTAAACAATAATAACAAAAAAATTATCAAAAATTATCAAAATTTAAAAAGAACATATTAAATTATACTTAAATTTAGACTGTTTGGGACATCAAATAAACTTGAATTATAAGGAAGCAAAAGTATAAACAAAATAAGATGGTTTTTAACATTTTCCTGAATAAGAATATTTTTAATTAACATTTTTTCCTAATGAATGGCAAAAACTTCATATAACTACTTTGTTATTAAGATATAAGAACGATTTTAATTATTCAAAGGAATTACATTCAAAACACATACGATTCAATAAGACAATATATAACAATACAATAAAATCATTGGTAATATGCAAATAATGAAACCTAAAAATATGATATTTCTAAGCCGTTCACAGAATTGTGTTCATTATTTATGCAAATATTCAAAATAGTAATATAGATAATAATCCATGAAATTTATGTATTTTTATAATTTATATGCCTAATGTTTAAGCATGATACATCCAACATAAAGCATTTCGTATCAATTTAATATATTTCGTAAATCTAATAGTAACCTTTTATTAGCCAGACGAATTTATAAAGACTTAAAACGTACAATCTACGCGTTTGAAAGAGCGTAGTAAAACAGTTATATCCACATAGGACATGCAAAGGGTTACAACGCATAACGCAAGTATGACCTAGATACTTCTTTGACATCTTTGGCACATCAAATTACACATATACACATGCACGCGCCATACACATATACACACGCATGCTCCCCCAAGCATGGCCGAACGTGTCGTCGTCGGAATGCAAATAACGTTCCCGAAATAATAATATATCCCATACGTGATTCCGCCTCGCAAAAGTCAAGCGAAAGTCGAGTTACGGAGCCGCGGGCCGAAAATAGCCAGCGGAACGGAGTCAGCCGCGTCGGCACTGCTGGCTCGCGCACTAACAGGTGACACCGTATTTACCGTGGCTGTGGCCATTGTTGCACTTTACTCCAGCCACCCGCGGTGCGCCCCGTGTATTTACATTCGTTCGCGCGAGCGTCGTCACGAGGAACGTCATCGGGGAACGAGCCGCGACGTGAAAAATCCGCGACGAGAGATTTACACGCGCGCGAGTATCCGCCAGCGGAAACGCGCACCTTGCCGCACACGGGCCTTGAGGTACAACTACGACTGACCATACACACACACACACACACACACACACATGCGCGCACGCGCGCGCGCATACATACGCATACGCGCACGGGACCAACGCGACGGGTCGTCGCGTCGTCGATCGTCGGATCGTGCGGTTCGCGACGACGACAATCACGACGGCGATGACGACCGCGACGTCATGGCAGATCCGATTGTCGAGGTCAATCGCGCGCGGTCAACTTCGTGGGATGAGATTCACGCTCTGAAACTTACCTGCATGTTAACATCCCTCACAACACGCACGCCATATTGGACACGACTGCTCGCGGAAGAAAAGGAAGGAGAAAAATACGCACGCGTCCTCTATTGTGGGAGACGCGCACCGTCTTATCCGCACGCGCGCGCGCGCGCTCACACCTGTCTCACTCGCTCACACCTGGATGTACGTGTAACATGCGTGTGTGCGTGTATACGAGCGTGAAAAACGTCTTATGGCTCGCTTAAATATAGCCGCGCCAGCGCGAGTGCCGTTGACTCGCGCTGCGACAAGGCGGATATCGCAGGCGCGAAAATCTCATTATGAGCGATAGAACGAGGTTTCCGCAGAAACCTGATTTAAACATATGCACTAATGGCCCGAACGTATCCTTGGACTGTTGAGCAAAATTTTTTTCTTTTTTGAATATTCAATAATCTTTTGTTTCCTTTTTTACTGTTTACATTCGTCATATGTGTGCATAATGCATGATACGAGTATTGCAAAACACATTGCACCTTGCAGGTCATACATAACATTCAACTGTTCTCTATTATACAAACATGGAAAAATGTCTAAATCTGCGCAATTGTTTTTATTACAGAGATACACAGAGATAGTTGTGATAATTTATAATTTATATTAAAGTTTATATACAGCACATGTCTATGCATAGTATTATTATTTGTTTTTAACATTAAACAAAGTTATTAATTTGGAATACTACCATTGAGAAAATGTAAATTAAGTCAAAAACATTATTTGCACATGTAACAACAAAAATAGGAGAATCTATTGTCTATCCAAAGAGAGAATATACATGTAAATTATATTTTTAAGGTATATTATGAAAAAGATCCATGAAATAGATATTATCAAATTCGTTTAGCAAACTCTAAAAGATATAAATTTATCTCATAAAAAAATACACATTTCACAGATTAATTGTAAATTATAGAAGGTATTCATATACAGCAAATGAAGATCTATGCATTACAAAGTATATATTTGCTATTTTCAAATGTAAAAAGTAGATTATGTTTAAGAAAATTATTTTACTAGTTACATTATAAACCACGACACTTAATATTGTCCCTTATCCTTTTGGATATTCCTCAAGGATTTAAATTCAATTTGACAGCTTCTTGTCGTATCACAGAAATGAGTTCCTGATTTATTAAAAATGTAAATCTCAGACTCGCAATCTGTAACATAAAGAAAAATTGCAATTCATAATCAAAAAGACAATGTACAATTTGAGAAAAACTATATAAATTAACTGTATGTTTTTCAATTTATCATAATTACCTCGATTACGCTATTGTTATTCAATTTCATTTTATTGCCAGCCAAAATTGGTCTGCTATCCACAAAGATCGGCCGTTTCCCTTCGGATGATAAAAAGAAATCTCCATTATTTCGTAAACGGATGGTACCTTGTCGACGTGAAACTTTCCATGCTGGACCTTCCAGACTAAGATCCACATCGACAGTATGATCCTTTGTGGAACGTCCTACGCTTATCTGAACAAAAATGCAGAAAGAAGTGAAATCTTACAAAAAGTAATAATTTATATTATATATAAACAAGTAATCATTCCACGTTTGCTTCTTACCTCTCTAGATCTCATGAGATATCGGACAAGCCTTCCTCGTAAAATAGCTAACGTTTGATTATCAAATTCTGGGGGATTGGCGCCTGTTACGCTGTCCACAAGCACTTGCCATCTGCCAAGCTCATTTTCTAAAACTTTAATTTCTCTCTTATTCTTTCTGTCTGCCGTTGCCAGTTCAGAATCTACTAATTCATCCTTTGGTTCCATCAGTTCGGTATCATTGATCATATCCTCAGCGTCTGAAAAGCTCAACACGTGTTCACCTCGCGGTAAACTTTGCACAGTCTGATCTGGTAATAGATGATATTGTTTCATCAACTGCCAATGGCTATGTAATGCTTTCGCAGTTCTAGCTGGATAAAATGTATGCGCATTTGCTTCAAGCAATTCTTGAAATACTTCCAATGTTGGTTGAGATGTCTGGCAAAATGAAATAAAAAATTATGGATTTATAATAACGCAGTCATTTAAAAAGATTAAAAATCAGTAACTAATTTGTACAACGGATTTTAATTTAATAACACCCACTGATTTAATAGTGCCCAATAGATCCTCCTCTGCTTTGCTATACAAAGTTCTTGCTTGAATACTGGCTATCAATTCGGGATGCAAATTGCGCATAGCTTGTACAGCTACACGTGAAACTGCACTGTCATACAACAATGCATACCATCTTTGCTGTATTTCCTGTAGTGTAAAGCGACAGGAAAATTTTGTTCCTCGGTGAACCTTAAACAATCACAATATTAAAAATATATTATCTTCTTTCTTATTGATATTATCAAAGAAGATAAAATCAAAATAAAGCTTAATTACATACCATTCTTAGATCATTTGTTTGTTGTACTCCAGTAATTAATGCCAAATCATCGGCAGGTTTCCATCTTCCAAGATCTTTGGTAGCATTTATAGAATGAGAATGATTTTTACTTTTTTTGTTCTTTCGCCCAGGATTCGAACCACTCGGCCTACTAGGTCTACGATTGCATCTATCTGATTGTGCCAAGGTGGTTGGTATTGGTATCGGTGTAGGTAACGTTTGTGTGGGCAAAACATCCATGGGGCTGGAAGTTACTGAAATCGTCCGCGATTTTGACGTTGACTTGGCGCTCGTCGTAGGTGGTTGCAGATTGAACGTCGTTTCCACGACCTCATCGTCAAACTTCTTGCGTTTTATCGTGCGCGAGGAGCTTCAAGAAAAAAGAAATGTCATGGGATATCACAGCGATAAAGGTATTACACTTACAGCAAATTTAAAGATTAATGAACTATGTGATATCTACCTTCTTCGTTTCGTCGATAGAGCATCCAGAGCAGACGATCCTAAAGGGATATTCAGAAACCCGTCCGTACTGTGAGAGAGTCCACTGTGGTTAAGGCCAGTCGGAGTTGACATTTCCATTGTTTAACCGAGCGAACGCAGAAACCATCAAAACATAATATGCAATCGATCACTCTTGAAGGATCTTGAAACTTTCGAACAAATCTGCGGACGAGTATTCTGATTATTATTAAACTCACGTATAAATATCCGAGTCAAAACATCAACACCAAGCACAACACTTTGACATGAAGTGAATCGTAGAAAGTCGGAGTTAGAGACGCGAGCGCGTGATGACAAACACTCGATTCGGCGTTGTGAATCGATTCCCGAGTAATCGATATCGAGAGAGACGTGACGTCATTCGATTCAATTAATCGCAAGATTTTTAAACGCTTTCTACAAGGAAGTCTGAAAGCGATCATGCCCGCAATGCTCGCATTTTAGCTGGAATCCATTCATTAGCACCTCTGTGTGCTAATAAATACTCACAAAATACGCACATTGAATTACACAATCATGACTATATATTTCCGATGGATAATATTTTATGCGTACGATCTTTGGTTCTAGTCTATGCTGACATTCATGAAGTGTTCATAATACATACTCGTAAAACACGTTTACGTATATATATCAAACAGATTTTAATTGTAAATATATACACATAAGATATTATAAAATTTATTTTTACTTATAATTTAATTTGCTTATAAATTAAAAGATTTATTTTAATAACCTGTTGCCAATAAATTGGAAATGTAATTAAATAATTTAATTAAATGTTATTAAATAATTTTAATTTTAAACTGTTTTTCTATCAAAATCCTTAAATAAAATATCATTTTTGTTAACATTTAAAAAAATAATGATAAAGCTAATATTAAAAAATAATTGTAGAAATAATTATTATTATAAAAAGTAAATTAATTCAAGATTAAAGTTAATTTATATTGGTAGAAATGAACATCGGTCATACTTGGACATACTTTCATGTGATCATCAAAAGAATATTGATATCATCATTATTAATATAAATTTTTCATAAATATTAAACAATTAAATTGTTCCTTTTTCCTAATGTCTGTTAGTTTTAACCTCAATTTAATTCATTTTTTTAATTTCTGAAATTAAAAAAAGATAAAAAAATAAATTAAATTAAAGTTAAGCTATAGACTAACTTTAATCTCATTTTAACTTATTTTTTATGGATACATCGATATCAGTGCGACATCAATGCATCCGACAAGAGAGAAAAAGAGAAAGAAAGAGAGAAAGAGAAGAAAGAAAAATGGCAAAATACGAGGATTAAAGAGTCTAACCTCGGTTCTAAAACATGCGATCATTTCTGCTGTCGCTCGTTCATTGCCACTTTTCGCGAACCGTTCGAAAAAGGGCGGAGAGATCGTTCTCGTGATCGCCCTCGATCGGTCGCCGCGCATGCGCAGCCGGGCCGCACGCGCGAGCGATCGGATCACGCTGGCACGCTGCTTCCTTCGTGCAGTATGGCCCGCTCGATTCCGGTTGTGCTCGTTGTTACCACGTTTGTGCGGCAGGCTCTTCGTTTACCCGCAGGAACGGCACACGGCGAATAATCACCGGCAGCCATGGACGAGGAATGGGGTACGTAGTGAATGCACAGGCGGGCGTCCGCGATCGCCCGCCCGTGCGCCCCGTGAACGGGCGATTTCTTACGAAGGAAGACTGACTTTTAACCTCCACCCTTTTGCTGCGCCTCTTGCAGATGTGGACAACGTCGAGACGAAATTCGACCTCGCGATGAGATCGAATAAGTGGGAGGGCGAGGATGAGGAGGAGGAGGTCAAGGTAAAGCGATCCCCTGGTGCACGGGCGACGCGTGGACCATCCGTCGCAGATTCACACGCGGATCCGCGCACCTAACCTATAATGAACACATGTGTTACTCACACGATGGTCCTCTCGTGTTGTAGCTATTGTCACTTTTTCTCGTAAATTTCTCATTTGCACCTACTTTTCTCGAAAATGATCTGCAATATCTTGCTATTATACATGATCGTATAAAGAGGGAGAATAAAGAAATGTGTTTACATATGTTTTATGATGAGACGTAAGGACAGTGGAATAAGAATTGAAGGACAATTAGTTGTGAATTTTGACAAATGTGTTCCCTAGACACTCACTCATTTGAATAATCGATAAAATATCTACCTCTTTATATTATTTTTTGTACTAGAATTAGGTATACAAAAGAATAAGTAAAATATGTTATTTATAATATTGATTCTTTTGTTTTTTAAGTTTTATCAGCATTAAAAAAATTAAGCATCCCACTGTTAATATAATTTTTTCTGTAGTTGTGATTATGTGAGATGTGTTAAATATCAAAATTTTATTATACGATAACATCTTGTAACAATATTATATTTTGTTTAAATATAATAAAATTATAATCATTTTATTTATCTAATTTAAATAATTATATAAATATAAAAGTTATATAAATTAAAATAATCTAACAGGATAGTTGGGAAGATGTGGAAGAAGAAAAGAAGGATGTAGAGAAACCAGCAGAGGTTCCAAAAGCAAAGCCAAAACCTAAAAAAGCACTAGCTGAAAGAATTGAAGAACGTGAGGTTCGTCTTAAACTGCTTAAACTGCAATACTATTTGTATTTTGTATCATTTTACTCATATGCATATGTAAAATTTATTAAATTGCAGAAGAAGGCAAGGGAGGAAGCTGAGAGAAAAGCGAAAGAAAAAGAGGAGGCGCTCACACCTGAAGAAAGGCGAGCCGAAATGTTAAGGCGTCAGAGGTTGCAAGAGGAGGCTGATCTACGACTGGCGATGGAAACTTTCGGTTTGTCGACTCTAGTAGATTTTAGTGATCGTAAACCACATAAAAGAGATAAAAAATGATTTTTTTAACGAATGATCTGACTGTTTTATATTGTGAAAGGATAGCTTTTTATTTCTAACATGAGAATTATAATCTGCCATTTAGACTTCTATCTTTCTTCTATCTTTCTATTTTATTAAACATCAGACGTTTCATTTGACGAAAAGAAGTCTTTTAATAACATACTTTTTTAAAATCTATTTATACATTGTAAACACATTATCATTGTAATATTAGTTGTATTGAAAGATTTACATTCTGTCTAAATATGCATGGGATGACATATAAGCATTTGTGCTTTGTGAAAATGAGCTATTATTTTTATATAAATGTGATTGAACAGTTAAAAAATTATTAATATTAAACTAACTACTCTAATTGCGATAGTGACACGCACAACGAAATTGTTATGTGCATTAAAACGTACAGTATTATATAAAAGAGAAGGGACAAGAAATGCAACATATAAATACATACACATACGCATGGAACACATACGTCTTTATTAATATTTTTATTAACATTAATTTAAGATGGTGGCATAATAATTTTACATAATTGTATTATAGCCACGCTGTTTTTATAATCGATTTAGTAAGAACAAACAGGGGCAGACAGACAGAAAGAGAATATATATACAATCATTCAAACTTATTACAAGCTCTATATTTAAATTTATTACTGATGTTGTTGTATTTTAATAAAAAGTTGCTATTCTATGCAATCTGTTGTGTTTACATCAGTTTTTGTAACCTTTTCTCTCATCTGTTATCTGTCTCCTGTACCGTTCCTAATTGATTCTTGATGCACTTGTAATGTAGACTGGGATATACAAAATCTGTCAAGTACAACGTAAGTTAAATATATAAAACTACTTATTATATTAACTTTATCTTTCAAGAATGCAATATCCAGTTACAAAATAGTAAACATTTCTCTTGAATTTTCTTATTATTCATTATGTACTTTATTTTTATTTATTACAATGAAACAGTTTCATAAAATATGCTTAATAAATTTAACGCACATTAAAGTAATTTAAAATCATAAAATAATTCTAATTAATATAATATTTGAAAGATATGTGTCCATAGTATGTGTTCATGTGTGTTTATGTATATATGTAATGTTATATGATAATTTTATATTACAGGTGTACCAGAAACACCAAGTGAATCGCTCGATACTATGGTACCCGACACGAAAGAAGATTTCGAGCGATTTGGTACAGCGCTATCGCAAAAAATTAATCAATTTAATAAACATGCAGAGTTTCCACCGTTTGCAGAAGAACTTATAAAATCCATTGCCCTTAATTGTTAGTATATTTCTTAACTATTGATATTTTAATGAATAATATCTATTCATTTTAACAAATTAATTTTATATTTGGAAATATTTATTTGTTTCAGTATCATCAAATTACTTGAAAAAAGTGAAAACTCTAGTTGATAATTTACTTATCGAAAAGCAAAAGATGGAAAAGGGCGAGAAGGCGAAAAAGAATAAGGGGAAAGGAAAGGCCAAGCTCAAAATCGAGGGTGACAACACCCTACTGAGCGAATATGGTGATTATGTATATGACGAGTATGACGATTTTATGTAGCGACTTTTCACGTATTCATACATTCTAGTCGCCTAAATACACGCAGAAGAATGTTAATTTGCAGAATTTATACAGAAACTTTATATTTGTATTTTCTGCATATTGAATTGTAACCAAAATGTACAACAGTTTAATCTATAATCCATAATATCATTCACACCTAACAAGATGAAGAAATAGAAGTGAAAACTAGCATTATTATAATATTATCGGCGAAAATGCTTAAAAGAAAAATAACAAACATTCTCCGATAGCTGCGTGACGACATTCGCACACAGTTACTCAGAACGATTGAAGATTTTATGACTTACTGTTGAGTTTTGTCGGATTTTTATCCGCGCGCGCGTCCTATATCGTTATCAGATTTTCAATTTGCTGTTATAACATCGGTAACCAGATTTTAGCTTGAAAACATTGAAAATATCATGCGATGTACGCGTGATTCTAACTTATTGATTGTGCATATACATTAACATCGGGCAGCAAAGGGTAGAATTATTATGTCTTTGAGTTGTGGCTGTATCTTGAACTGTTAAGACAAAAAAAAAGGGAAGAAACTTTCCTCATCTTTACATAGCTGCGCCACTGCAGATTAAATCGTGTAATTATATTGTGGAAGTTTTATATAACACAGCTTATATATTCATATGCATACACGTACTTTTATTGAAGATCGATTAGAAGTTGGTTTTGAAAAGAGTATATTCCTAAATAAAGGTTGATTATAAATTATACGTCCTTCATTCTTTGTTCAGTATCAATTGATTGTACATTTTACTGCGGAATGTCTCTTGTATTTCGTTTTAATTGCGTTTTCACTTGTAAATGATATCTTTCGGCTGTTGTTGATAAAAAAAAAATTATGCGTTGCAATACACGCAGGAGGAATACAAGTGATGTGTTGGAGTACCGCGAAAAAATAATATTCGTACATCATGTAACGACGCAGCATTAAATATCTTAATATGATACAAAAAAAAAAAAAGAAACTATTTTCGAGACTGAGTGAACCACATGAATGGTTCCTAAGTTCTCTTAGATTATTACAGATATTTACTGCTGCGCAAAGATTAATACTGATTTAATAAAACATCATTCACTTGATTTCTTGTTTTTGATATCTTGCAGTCTGTAAGACAAATTCTTAAGACTTCCTTTATTCACATTTGATAATTTCCTTCATTTTGTTTCCCATTTTTCATTTCGCGCTTTTCATCCAGTTCTGGTTCCAACTTGAGCATTCAATTGGACGATCTTTCAATTGATAAGAGAAGCGTAGATGCCCGTTCATCTGTTCCATTCTTAACATAAATTCGCATATACATACACACGTATATAGAAAGACTGGTTAAAGATAACCTATATCTATAACGAGCTTTCCTTTGCTCGCGACGGAGCAAAGAAGTTTAAGAGCTTACGATAGTACAATACAGGCATGAAAAGTCAGTAATTATGTATATTTACTGGTGAGTTTATATATATATTACAAAAAAAAGGCAATTGATTTTACAGCAGCATATGTATTTATTTTAATTTTAGATATTGGTTTTGATTAGCAAAGGATGAAATACCAAAGAGCTTTCGAGATAAATGTTTAATAATCTTAAATTTTTTGTATGATTGTTCTAATCATTGTCAAAAAAATCTCAGTTTAGAGAATGGCTATAACTGTGCGATCATTATTTCGCGATGTAAACAGAACGTTTTGTAACTCTGCCTCCAAGCATGTCGTCAATTCTAACTCGGACAAGAAAGAATCAAATAAAAATGCAATCAAGAATTGGAAAGTGGAACTGTACGATACCATGAAAGTTCTGCCGAATTTTATTACCGAGAAAGAAGAGGATATTTTGGTACAAGAGGTTGATCCTTACATGAAACGGCTACGTTATGAATACTCGCATTGGGATAATGTAAAAATATTAATTTATTTTGTTTTTTATATTTCTATATGTAGATTATTTTGTTTCGAATTGACAATATTTTGATTTTTCTAGGCGATACATGGCTACAGAGAAACTGAATGGAAGAAATGGAGCAAAGATAGTACACAGATTCTTGACAGAGTTCGTAAGGAAGCGTTTCCAGTAGAAGTAACACAACTCTCCCTCGTGCATATATTGGATTTAGCCGCCGAAGGATGGATAAAACCACATATTGATAGTGTCAGGGTAACGTTATTTTCACCTTTTAAACACCACGATGCAATCTAAAGTGACTTTAATTTAATTTTGATTAATTTGTCTCCTAAGCAAATTGTCTGCAACAAATTGATAACAGATTTATTCAGATATTACAACTAATCTGATATTATTTGTATCTACATTAAGCTTGTACTGTTTTATTAACATGGACAGAATTATTAATTTTTTTTGTTTAACATGGAAAAGAGAAGCTTAGATTAAGAATAAAAATTTTGTTTTAAGTGAATTGATTCTGATTGAAGTCATATTTAAATACAAACAACTTTTTCGGAATGTTTTATAGTTCTGTGGAGGCATCATTGCAGGATTAAGTTTGCTAAGCGATAGCGTGATGAGATTAACGATGGAGGGGCACGAAAAAGAATGCGTTGGATACTTCCTGCTGCTAAGAAGATCATTGTACATTATGAGGTTCAATTTATTTCCAATATTTATTTTTCCTCTTATTAATATGAATGTTTATAATTATTCTTATGTCTCTCTAGTGGCGTCGCGAGGTACAAATACCATCATGAAATCCTCAAGTCTAAGGAATCATACTTCGAGGGACGACACATACCAAAAGGCAGGCGCATCTCTATAATATGCAGAAGCGAAGTTGATCCCGAAATCATTCAGTCTGTTTAATTATAGTGAAGATGTATATAGATAATGTCGTATATAGATAATTTTGTAAATAATCCAAATATCCAAATTTTGATCCCATGTAAATAAAAAATTATTAACAAAGTATGTTGCTTAAAATTAACTCATGAGATATATCAACATAGATCTATTTCAGACTGTAATTTACTTTAGGCCCACTCGCGCCAATGTTATTTTAGGTTTAAATAAAACTTAAATATATGTCTGTTTATTTAGAAAGAAAGATAAAGATGAACGATTTATCCGATAGAATCGTATTAAAATGAACCATGTAATTTTTCTCGTTATCGTTTGAACTTCCCGCCACGGTGAACAGTAATCTCGAACAAGATGAGAGATAGCGCTTCCGGCCGAGGTGCGGAGATTTAATCGGCGTAATGCTCCTCTATAGGATCGTCGCTGATCGATGGCGGGGCCGTCGTACGAAACATGGCGTCCGTGAGGTTATTGCTGTGAGTGCTGCTTCGTTTTCTATTGTTAAATGTGGCATCGTCGCGCGGACTGCGGGCTGACGCGGTGCGTCGTGTCCTCGGGGCCGGCGAGGGCGTCTACTTGAACCCCACCGCTATTTGGGTCTTGGGGGCCGCTCGTAGGCGCGGTTATCGGACAACGAAAGGAGACACGGGTCCCGTCAACACAGAGTGGGCGCTTGTGGGTATACACACCCTGACGCGCGGGACTCGCTTGGGATCAAGTTTCGTCACGAGCGTGCCGCGACCTTCACCGTCCGGACCGAGATCTGCCATCGCGAGCCGCGACCCCACGGCGAGCGTCCTCCAGGTAGGGCGAGCGGGAGCCCCGTGCGCCGCCGCCGCCGTCGTCGCCACCGCCGCTTCCGCCGCGCACGAACACGCACTTCAGAATGCCGGTCTCCCCGTGATGGAATTGTTTTTGTGCACGGGGTGATAGAGACAGGAACCCGGGAGATCGTCCTCTTTCTCTTTCCGTCGCGTGGCCGCCGTCGCGAGAACGCTCGCACGTTCCTCGAGCTTCGATGGGAAACAGCACGGTGGTCACGACGTGCCGTTGCCCGATCTCGCAGTCGCCGTAGCAATCGTCACAATCGACGAGAGCATCCGACGTGAGCGCGGTGTTCCGGGAGCACGGCACCGCCGTCGAGGATGCGCCCAGCGACGGAACGACAACGCTAGTCTATATAGTGCACGATTCCAAATGTATTCCCCCTACCGTATTGGGAAACGGCAAGGTAAACACTAAACAGAGAAATAAAGAGAGAACAGTGAATGACCACCCTGGTGTTTTTACTCACCTCGTCGCGTGAACAAAGTACCGTTGTGTGTGTGGCGAGAGGAAAAGAGTGTGATTTACGCTACAGAAGAGAGGAGTACGGAGAGTGCTGAGCCATATGCCGCCAGCCGGGCTATCGGCGAGAGGCTTGTCTACCTTGATGGACCACGGACAACCAGATGCTCGTCATCGGAGCGAGCGTTTCCTACTGTATTCAGAGAATGGCTCCTCACATCCTCATAGTCCCAACACGGCCAACTCATCACCACGGTACCAATACAACAGTCGAACCAATAGTCACACCACTAGGTAAGGACTCCAGGTTTCTAGAGTGTCCGATTTCCACAAGCTAATTTCTGCTGACAATTTCTTATGATTTTTAATAATTTCTGTTTTGCAGTTACGGGTCCATATATGGACGCACATCTAGCAACAATATGTCTGATAGCAGTGTTTCTGACACACATAGTGGCGGAACTGCGAGAACTGTCTCTCAACAGACCAGTCCATCTCATGGCACACATTCCTCTTCTCAGTCGCGGCAGGACAACAGCACTACCATTTTCACAGCCCTCTTTGATTATGTTGCTCAGGGTGAAGATGAATTATCTCTGCAAAGAGGGGAAACTGTTGAGGTGACGTGTTTTCGATGATGTCACATAATTCTCTTGTAATAATATAATGTGTTTCGTAAGAAACACATGGTTATTACAAGAAACAATTATTTCCTAGAACAGGTTTTGTCCAAGGACGCCAAAATCTCAGGCGATGAGGGATGGTGGACTGGAAAGATTCGTGGAAAGGTGGGAATCTTTCCAGCAAACTTTGTTGCAGAGGCAGAAAGCATCGATCGAGTTTCGTCGGTGATCGATAAAGTCCAACCAATTGAGATCGATTTCGAGGAACTACAATTGGAAGAAGTTATAGGAGTTGGAGGATTTGGAAAAGTGTACAGGTATACATACAAACTAATTAATAAAATGCACAAGAAACTGTCATTATTTTAAAAATGTTTCATAGAAAAAATTTTATATGAGGGTATATTGATGTCGAAACGTCTCCTTAAATAAATTTGTTTATTTTTTTTGTTTTATTTTTTTTAAGGGGCTTTTGGAAGAAACGCGAGGTAGCTGTAAAAGCTGCGCGCCAAGATGCGGGCGAGGAACCCAGTGTCACATTAGAAAATGTACGACAGGAAGCGAAATTATTCTGGTTGTTGAAACACGAAAATATTGTACAATTAGAAGGAGTATGTTTAAAGATGCCCAACATGTGTCTTGTGATGGAGTACGCCCGCGGTGGCAGTCTTAATAGAGTTCTTAGTGGCAGAAAAATAAGGCCCGATGTGTTAGTCGATTGGGCGATACAGATCGCAAGAGGGATGGATTATCTTCACAATAAGGCACCCATCAGTCTTATTCACAGGGATCTGAAAAGTTCCAATGGTAAAATGTCTTGATAAGTAGTATTAATTATATCATTTTTAACAAAATTATGTCATTTTTATTCTAAACGATTTTTTTTATCGATAGTATTATTGAGTGAGCCGATTGAAAACGACGACTTCCAATACAAAACTCTAAAGATCACGGACTTTGGTTTGGCAAGGGAAGTGTACAAAACAACACGTATGTCCGCAGCGGGCACATACGCTTGGATGGCTCCGGAAGTTATTAAGAAAAGTACTTTCAGTAAAGCCAGTGATGTATGGAGGTCAGTTCACTTTATAGATTTATTACTTTCATTTGAAAATTTTATTTGAAATATTTGTAGTTATTAAAGAAAGCATATCTTTTCTTGTCATTTATTTGTGTTGACTTTTAAAGTACATGAAATATTTATTGATAGTTATGGTGTGTTGCTGTGGGAACTTTTGACGGGGGAGACACCATACAAGGGTATTGATGCTTTGGCTGTAGCATATGGTGTTGCTGTCAACAAGCTAACTCTACCTATACCATCCACTTGTCCCCAGCCATGGAGGGTTCTTATGGAAGGTAAAAGATTCGTAATATTAATAAAAAGTTTAAGATATTTCTTTTTTCATATATACGTTCCGGAATGTGAAAAGAGTATAATACCAAAAGTAATTATATTACATAGCTTGTTGGGCATCGGATAGTCATGCTCGACCTGGATTCACGGACATTTTAATAGCCTTAGACGAAGTACGTAATGCATTCGCGGCGACGCCACACGAATCTTTTCACACAATGCAGGAAGATTGGAGACTGGAGATCGAACAAGTTCTGCATGGATTGCGCATGAAGGAAAAGGTACGCGCATATTTGATATTAATTGCTAATTGTTTATATGTTCATATATGAAATCATTTTATAATATAATATCATTTTATGTGTAAATCATTTTAATTATACCTATTACATTCGAATTTCATATATATGCAATACATATAAATATAAATATTCATAATGAATAATATTTCCAATCGTTATTTTAAATGCTTTGCAAAGGCATGCCGTTCTTTAGAAGAGGTAAGACAAAATAAAAAACGGTTGATTATGATGTTACTATTAGAAAAAATTATATATTTATTATATTTATCTTACTAATTAAAATTAAATTATTTAATATAAAAAAATTTTTAAATTAGATATGATTGTGATGTTTCAAGTAAATTCAAGTTTTTTTTAATACGTTTTTTTCTCAATATTACTTATAAGGAGCTGCGCTGTAGAGAAGAAGAACTGACGAAGGCACAGGTACAACAGAGACAGCATGAAGAGAATTTGAGACAGCGGGAACAGGAATTAGCCGCGCGCGAAATAGATCTCTTGGAAAGGGAACTCACCGTAATGATTATTCAGCAACAAAACACGCCTACGCCGAACAAGAGACGTGGCAAATTTAAGAAGTCGCGATTAAAATTAAATAAAAAGGAACCTGGGAGCAATATTAGTGCTCCTTCGGGTAAGAGAACATTTTTTGTTCGATGCTACAATATCACACTATTAAAACATCTTATATCTTATTTCCTTCATTTGTACAAAATATTTTCTTAAAATATGTACATTAAAAGTAGTGTATTATGTGGATTAATAACGAAGATGTATTGTTTAGATTTTCGTCACACGATCACCGTTCAACACACAGCTTTAGATCGAGGCAAAGTGAGGAATCCATCGAGGCCCAACAGTCCACCAGGCTCACCTAGTATTCCGAGACTCAGAGCGATCGCATGTGAGTAGTTTTTTATTCGGAAATATCGCTTTCAGTAGTACCGTGATTATGACGATGTACTGTGCAACATGAGTGATTTTACGAGCAAATCGAACGTATTGGAATTGTAATCGGATAATTTTAGTGTAACACTGTTTGTTCGTGGTAGACACTTTGTATTTTTATTCGTGTCTATATTTTACCTTTTTTTTTTCGGCATGGTGTGCACAATTATTGTTTTTATATATTTTTTCAT